GTCTGTGCGCCATGTGGGACCCTCCTCCAGTGGCCGGGGAGCAGCCGGGGATCGAACCGGTGCCGCAGAGGCTGCGGGCAGCTTCGCAACCCAGCGCTCAACTGCTGCGCCACCGGGGAGGCCCCTGCTTCTATTTTTAAAAAAAGATTTATTTATGCATACAAGAACTGGGGTACAGGCCAGAGGTTCAGGGGGTGAGAGGATTCAGCAGAGACAGATTGAGTAGCAGAACAGGTGGATTAACTGAAATACACTGCTGAGGGGAGCAGCGGGTGAGACAGGAGAGGTCTGCTATGCCATGTAGGTAGCTCCCTGGTGGGCAGGAGATGGAATTCCTGCTGCAGAGGCTGTGTATAGCTTCACAGTGCTGTGCTTAACCCCTTGTGCCACCAGGGGGGCCCTAACTCTACTTCTATTTTTTTTTTTTTTTTTAAATTTTTTTTTTATATAGAGGCATGTTTTTATTTATTTATTTATTTGTTTGTTTGTTTGTTTATACATGCACTGGGTACAGTCAGAAGCGCGGGAGGGTGAGAGAATTCACCAGAGCCAGAGCGGGGAGCAGAGCAGGCAGAGGGACCGAGGTACACTGCTGAGGGGAGCAGCGGGCGGCAGGAGAGGTCTGCGCGCCATGTGGGACCCTCCTCCGGTGGCTGGGGATCGAACCGGCGCCGCAGAGGCCGCGGGCAGCTTCACAACCCAGCACTCAACTGCTGCGCCACCGGGGAGGCCTAACTCTACTTCTAAATAAGGTCTCTGTAAGGTAAATAAAAGTATCAGGTTTTTCTGCCCTCCTGCCATTAGGATTGATGATAGATCCCTGTGGTCCTGAATGCATGCCTGATGGTGGGCACCTGGAGTGCGGTGTGGGCATGCGTAAGTGGGCACACCTGGGCTGAGAAACTGAGCTTATAAGGGCGGCGTCACAGGGATGCCAGCAGAACCAAGAGAGAAGGAGAGAGAACCTGAGAGAAGGCCGGAGAGCCCAGAAAGAGTGAAGTCTTCCCTGCCAGCCTCCCGGCCCCCCAACCCTGGTACCTCTGTCTGCCGTGTACCCAGTAAAATCCCAATAAAAGCCTGAAAAGCCATTGAGGACTCCAGGACTCTCTCCTTCACCCGTGTGCTCGGGTCATAGAGATCCTGCCCCGTCCCTTCCTGCTGATACAGCCTCTGAGATACAAGGAGTTAGGATTTTGACATATTATTATAGTATTTGACATATTATTGACACAGTTCAATCCATAATGATCTTTCTCTAGAATCTTTTGGGAAAAGGTAAGAGAGAATTGAGAATATAAAACTAAAGATGCTGAAAGCGTCTAATGACAATGCATTCAGCCTGCCTTAGTCATACTGCTATAAGCTAAAGTAACAGGATCAGCATTCATTGTAAGCACAGTGCAGATGAGCTACCAAAAGCTTTACTCAGGACATCAGAGGAGCTTACAAAACATTTCTGCCCCACATGGGGCAGGATCCCACCCCTTTCCTGGTTCTTGCTTCACTGAACTACTGGCTCCACCTTCAACCATTGCCCTGCCACCCTGCCCTTGAAAGGATGAGCTGAGGGCTTGAGTTGAAAGAGAAGGGTACTCGAAAGGGTCAAATGACCCCTCATCAGATCACAGACTGCAGCCAGAGAGACTTTTGTTTGCTTCTTGAGTTATTGTGCTGCAGAGGCCCCTCCCACTGTCCACAGGATCTCCTTTGCAAAGGCAAGAACTCACAGGTAGAACTGTTCTTGAAATAATTCCAATAGCTCTTAAGTTTCAGTCAAAGGGCATCCTTTTTGAATCTGACACCTGTTGGCCACTAAACCTATTAAGAGTCTATTTGCTGAGGGCCAAATTTTACCTCTTGGTTCAATCACGCCTCCAATGAGAGGTCTTTCTGTCTTTTTTTTTTTTTTTTTAAGATTTATTTATCTGTGCATACAAGAGCTGGGGAGTAGGCCGGAGGTGCAAGGGTAGGGGGAGAGGTGAGAGGATTCACCAGAGACAGAGTAGGGAGCAGAACAGGCAGACTGACTGAAACACCCTGCTGAGAGGAGCAGTGGGCCAGATAGGAGAGGTCTGCTGTGCCATGTGGGTAGCTCCCTGGCTGGGGGATCGAACTTGCGCTGCACTGGGATCAAACTGAACTGATCTTGTGCTGCAGTGGCTGCCGATATCTTCATTGTGCTGAGACTTAACCCCTTGTGCCACCAGGGAGGCCCTCTTTCTGTGTTTCTATGGGCAGAATTTGCTCTTCTTGCCTCAGAATTAATTCACAGGGGGGCCTCCCTGGTGGCACAAGGGGTTAAGCACAGCTCTGTGAAGCTATCCGCAGCCTCTGCAGCATTAGTTCCATCCCCGCCATACCCATATGGCGTAGTAGACCTCTTCTGTCTGGCCCACTGCTCCCCTCAGCAGGGTATTTCAGTCAGTCTGCCTGTCCACCCAGCACCTCTGGCCTGGACCCTAGTTCTTGTACATAAATAAATAAATCTTAAAAAAAAAAAAAGGAGTTAATTACACAGCCTTTTCTTGCTTTGCTGTGGCATTCTGCATTATTAATCTGTTCACATCTAAATAGTTTAATTCTCTTTCCCAAACCCTTAGAGCTTTTCTTGCCCTTTTCAGAAGCTAAGGAATTTTGAAAAGGCAGCAAGAAGTTATCCTTATTATACATATGTTATACAAGGCAATTATATATGTGTTTTATATATATATATATATATATATATATATATATATATATATATATATATGTTGTTGCTTTGCATCAGTATGCCCTACTACTCCCATTTGAATGTCTGGGCATGCACATATATTTAGAATAGGTCATACTATTTTTTTTTTTGGTGTGATGACTATATGTCGGGGTGATTATTCTGCCAATATTTCTTCCCTACTCCATTATCCATTGTATTTTTTAAAAGAACCACAGATATTTTCTTTAGATCCTATGCTAGTAAATAATTCATACCTTGTATGCTATATAATTAGCTGGAGGAAGGGTGGATTTATTTTTCAAGCGTGACATTTTTGTCTGGGACTTTATTATCTTCAGGTTATCTCACTGAGTTTTTAGAAATGCACTTAGTATAGAGTTTTACTTTTTAATCAGCTACACTAGAATTATTTTTCTGATACTCCAGGCCTCAGAGTGTTGGCTACAAAATCTGGAGGACAAAATGCTAGAAGGGCAGAAAGTAAAGCCCTGCCTTCTCCAGTCCTTTCAACAGCAACCCTTTACTGGAGAGTGGAAAAGTTATAAAACAGGAAGGCAGAGATTTGAGTTAAAACTGTAACTTTCTTTCTAAATGGAAGACTGTCACACTCTTTGACATTGTTTCAACTGGGTTCAAACAAGAGGTAGCAAAATGCATGAGGTAGGATATGAAGTATACTATGTTCCTTCTTTTCAGAAGTTAACCCATAAAATCTCTCCCAAAAGGAACAGGCTACTTATAAACCAATGGCGTCTATTTCAGTCTCCATGCTACATTCTAGAATATGGACACTAATGAGAGGTCCTAAATTGTGGTTAACCTGGGGATTCCATCCTCCTTATGTGCCATACCCCCACCTAAGAGGCTGGCATTTAGAGGATTGCATGGTTCTTGCTGACAGGGCTATTTAATGCAGGATCGCACCCCACATTATTATGGGTACTTTCCCAGCAAAAGTCCTTTAAGTTCACTTACCAGCACCCATCTCCAAGAAAGGTGAGATGAGACACCCTCCTGAAAGGGAAGTTTCAGGGCTGGGATTCGAGAGGTAATGTGACAGAGAGCAGGGGCGGATGCTGCATTTTTTCATGCATTGCTCACCACAGATTGTTTTGGCATTGAGTTTGCTTTTTAAAGCTATTGCACTAAAATATTTACTTTGATTATTGAATTATTTTAAATCCACAAGTGGTGCAGCCGAGGCATGTGGCTCTCATTAGCCTCACCTTAGTCCTGGCCCTGTAAAATACTTAAAAGTCAACAAAAATCTGCCTATTTCCTCAGCCACGACTCTTAGCTACCGGGGATACCCCTCGCCGTCCGACCCCCACCCAATAAGGATCCTTGCGTCCCAGTGAATTTTAAAAGTCTCCTCGATTTTCCTTGCACGTGTATTAACATACATGGCCTTCTGATCGGTCTTGTCCACCCTCAGCAGCGCTCTCCACCACGCTGCTTTTGCACTTTGATTCACGTGAAGAAATGACCTTCCCCCTCGCAGTCACACCAACGTCAACATCTCCACACGCCTTCCAGAACCGCGCCGACCGCAGCCATGGCATCTCCAGCAGAGTTCCTGCGCCCCGGCCCAGCGCTTGGCCCCGGGACGAAGGCGGACAGGACTTGACCCAGCCAGGGTCCAGGGGAAGGGTACCCGCCTGAACCCCACTCCAGCTCGCCCGTCTTCCCGCCGCATCCTCGTGCCGGGCATCGTCTGGTCGCGTCTGCTCGCTCCTCCGAGGCAGCCGGCGTGAAAAAGGACGCAGGCAGCTTCCGGGTTCCTACCCGAGGGACTGAGAAGCGCGAAAAATCTCCCCGCGCCGTGGTGCGCAGACGCAGCGGCGCCCCCAGCGCTCCCGGGTCTGGTGCCCGGCCGCGGGCCCGGGCCTCGGCTGCCGGCGGGGGCGCCGCTGGGAAGGCGTCCGCGGCGGGTGGGGGCTCTCGGGGCGCGAGGGCGCGAGGACCCGGGCGCCGCCCCCGGGGGCTGGGGCGGGCGGCGGGGTCGGGGATGGGGCGTGGGCGGCCCGGGGCGCGCGCGGGGGACGCCGGCCCGTGGAGGCCAGTGACGGCGCGCGGGGCGGCGCGGGGCGGCGCGGGGCGGGGCGGGGCGCGGGGCGGGGCGGGGCGGGGCGGCGCGGGGCGGGGCGGCGCGCGGCGGGGCGGCGCGCGGCGGGGCGGGCGGGGCGGCGGGCACGCCCCTCGCTCGGCCGGGCCGGGCGGGGCGGGTCCTCGGGCTCGGTGCGCGCCGGGTCCGGCGAGCTGAGGCGCTCGGGTCGGACGCGGCGCCATGCGCGGCCCCCCTGCCTGGCCGCTGTGGCTGCTCGTGGGGCGGGCGCGGGCCGCTAGCGCCTGGAGCCCCGTGGTCCGCGCCGCGGCGCCCCGGCCTCTGCCGACGGGCCTGGGGCCGGCGCGACCTTGGGGCGCGGGGCCGGGGCTCCTCGGGGGCGCCGGGGGCGCGCGAGGCCCGCGCCGCTGGACGAGCAGCTGCCCGGGCGGGGGTCCCGGCGGCCCCGCGGCCGGAGCGGGCCTCGCGCGGCTCCTGGGGCAGTGGGCGAGGCACCCCGGGGCGCGCAGGTGCGGCGCGCTGGTCGTGCCCGGCGCTCCCCGGCTCCCGCGCGCGGGGCTCCCGGGCGGCCCAGCCGTCTCCGCCCCGGCCGGGGGCGAGGCCTGGCGGCGCGGGCCGGGGGCGCCTGCGGCCGCGGCTGCCGCCGAAGACAACCCTGGGCTTCCCCCCGCGGCGGCCCGGCGCTCGGACGCCCAGAAGCTGCTGCGACTGGCGTACCCGGAGCGCTGGAGGCTGGCAGGTAGGGCCCGCCCCGGCCCCGGCCCCTCTGCTGGCCCGCGCACCTTGCAGAGCGCCTGGGCCCCGGCCACCGAGCGGGCAGGGCCGGGACGGCCCTCGGCAGTTTCTACTTGCAAGTGCCGAGCGGAGGGCGCTCCACAGCGGTATTCTCGAGCCTTTCGGGTTAACGGGGGACCTATTTGCAGACTTGAGTGTTGTTTATTTTCTAAATTTTGATACACATTATAAAGTGGAGCAGTTCCTCATCATTAGTCTTTAAAGCTCTGTTCTGCTTTCACTTTGCAACTTTTCAAAATGAGTTGGTTCTCCCTCCCACTTTGTTTCAAAGTAAATTCTAGCCAAAATACTGTGTGTTTTGTATGTATGTAAGCATTTGTATTCTGTGTCTATACTATTTTTTGTGTATATATTATTTGCCTAAAGCAAGTGTTTTATTAAGCAATCAGTTATATATTTTCCATGTGAAACAAAAATAGCCTAAATCTTTAACATTTGCTTTTGCTTCCTTGAGTAGTAAGCAGGAAGTTACTAAACTCATTTTCATAATCAACAATGCTTATGATATGTAAACTCCTGAAACTTGAGAGATCATAGATCATAACTAAATCATAGAATAATTTTTTAAAAAATGAGCCAGGAAAAAAATCCGGATAAATAGAATGATTTTCTCTAAGTCCTCATTTTTTAGCCTTAATTAAAGAAATGTTTAAATACACAAGATTTGTAAGAGCTACGCGTTTTTGAGATTTCTCTATATCTTTATTTCTTCAATAAATAATTTTTGAGCTCTTACTGTTTGCTCGGTTGCTGGAGTTACATTGGTGAACAGAAAGAAACATGGTTTCTGCTGAGGTTTGCAACTTTGTGGGGCAGGAAACATTAATGAAGTTACATGACTGGAGATAAAACTGCAACTATGATGAGGTTTTGGAAAGAGGGCTGTGAGGGTGTGGACACTTGAACGGAAGGGGTGAGAAGCCCACCTTTGTTGCAAATCCATTGCTTTGGAAAGGACTTTCCTAGAGAGTGACTTATGATTTAGTGCAGATTGGTGCTATGGAGGAAGGGCAACATTTTAGAATGGGAACATTTTATCTTTTGCTCATTGACTTTTAAAAGGTGGAGGATTCTTGGTTTTACTGAGTATAAAGAGAGTTATTTTATTGTTCAGTTGGTTGTGTGTAGACTTTGATGAAAACAGAGATCTCTTCCTCTTTTGAAAGAAAAAAGTGAGACTAGGAACTCTCATGTACTGTGAGCAGCTTAAGACTGGGGCTGTATTTGATTCATGTGTCTTTAGTGCTTAGTGTGTGGAGGCCACAGAGCAGGAGCTTAGGTGACTTACATGAAGTAATAAATTATGGTAGATCAGACCCAGATTGGTAACTAAATGTAGAGACCCTGAATGTACCGGTGTGTTAGCCCTGACTGTCTCAACAAGTGTAAGTGTAAAGAAATCCAGTTTTTTGTTTGTTTCTGAAATATTAGGTGTCAAGAAGGATTTTTAGGTACAGACTCTTACTCCCTCAGTCCCCAATCTTAGTGCTAACGGGTAGTGGAGCCTTGCCTCCCTCTCCTGTAACCTGTTTCCCCATTCTCACATGCCCTCCATGTTTATTAGGTTGAGACGAGAACCTTAAACAAGACAAAAGCTGTAACTCCTTTGATTTTAAGAAGGAAAACTATTTTGATCTGCTCCATGGAATAATTGTGAACATATAAGCTCAGGAAAGGGCTGGTACACTATTTTTTTTTCTTTTCAAATAGATAATAAATACATATTGTATGTTTTGAGGAAATCTGATAAATAATCCTTGTTAGAACATATGGTTTTCTCAAAGGTCATTCTATATATTGAAACCAATCTAGATGTTGGCATTTGTGGGGTTAAGAGGAAGAAAGAGAGGAGTCATCATTAATTTTTAATATCATAACAGCAACCTCGGATGTTGGCATATCTCTTTGGAATGCTGGAGATAAAAAGCAGGAATTTTTTTTTGTGTGTGCGTTATTTTTTAATCAAGAGACGAGTAAAGAAAAGGAATTCCAGTGTTTGTTAGTTTAAAACAGATACAAAATTCATCTCAAAAATTCAGCTATAGATTTGAATAACAGTATTTTCACCTGTCTTCAGCAGTTTGCTGAGTATGACATCTGAACTGTGTGACCAGAAAACTTTGACTTAAGTTCTTTGTATCAGAAACTTTAAAAAACAGGACTGCCATTTGAAATGTTTACAAATGTGAGATCAGCTTTAGTATTATTTCTGTTCCTGCCCCTTTGCCTCTCTTCCCTGTGTCTTGCTGTGTCAGAATTTGTGGCTCTCCGTCTATAGCTGTGGCCTACAAAATTGCCCTCTAGTCTTTTTCCCCTGATAATTTCATCTTGCCACCTTGGAGCTTACCAAGGAGCCCCGGGGTGGACTGATGGGATAAGAAGTAACTTGTCAGAGGCCTCTTGCTGCACTTTGCAGATAGAGGAGGCCACTGAGGGCTCTAATCAACTCTGTGAGTTAAGGGCAGGTGATGCTGTGGGTTTCAAGAGTGAGCTGTGGGCTCTTAGGGGGACATGAGATTATAAAGTTGGAGGTTCTTTGTGTGTGAGCCTGGCACAGGAGACAGCTTGTCTTCCCTACACTTCCCTGGCAAGTTCCTGGTTAAACTGTGGAAGGTAAACATCTACCCCTTTACCCTCAATGTGTTCAAATGAGGCATCAATTAAATTACTGATAAGGGCTTGTGTGGTTTGAGATTAGCAATGTCCTTACAACTTGATGCCTGCTAAAGCTTGTGCTGAAGTTTTTTTTAAAGATTTATTTATTTATGCATACAAGAACTGGGGTACAGGCCAGAGGTGTGTGGAGGGGGGGGTGAGAGTTTCCACCAGAGACAGAGTGGGGAGCAGAACAGGCAGATCTACTGAAATATACTGCTGAGGGGAGATGTGGGTGAGTCAGGAGAGGACCGCTGCACCATGTGGGTAGCTCCCTGGCCAGCCAGGGATGGAACTCATGCTGCAGTAGCTGCAGATAGCTTCATAGGTTGCGTCTTAACCCCTTGCACCACCAGGGAGGCCTTTGTGCTGAATTTGTAGATACATTTTATGACGCTCGACTGTAAGTGACCAAAATGAAAGGTGTTTTTCACACGAAAAAGCCAGAGGGTGCAGTAATCAAGGAGAGGGCAAATAGTGCTTAGAATGGCTGTTTCCTAAAGCCCAAGTTGGGACAGAGTTTTTGACAGGATCAATACTGATGGGGCAGTGTGGCTGAATCTTTGAGATTGAGACTGTGCCAGAAAGCTAAGGGTGTTTGCCGCAGAAATACCATATCTCAGAGAAAACATTAGCATGCTATAGCTATGTTGCAAAATATGCTGGTCAGAATTGATTTAAGTGTAAAATACACACCAGATTTTAAAAGGACTTAGTATAAAGTGTGAAATGGCATTAATTTTTTTATGTTGACTCATATTTTGGAAAGGAGCTGGGTGGCTCAAGTATGCTAGGCTTTAGCTCCAGAAAGGGCAAAGAGCAGGGGTCAAGACCTGAGTCTGGGCTAATAGTAGTCCTCGGGATAGGCCAAGGAGTAGGGAGAAACTCTGTGTAAAGGGGTTTGTGGCTTGAAATTCAGGAAAAAAATATTTTGGATATGTTAGTCAAATAAAATGTCATTAAAATTGTACCTGTTTGTTTTTACTCTTTTTAATGTGGCAACTGGAAAATCTAAAATTACAGAGATGGCTCCCATTTTTCTGGTGAGACTGGAGCCCTGGAGTCAAAGGCAGGGCTCTGTGTTAGGGCATATGCGTAATTCTGAGGCACATGCTGACAGGCTGGCCTTGCGCCAGATGTGCGGGGCTCAGATCCCTGTTCTGCAGTTTACTCCCTGAACCTGCCGAGTTTCATAGGCGCTGCTTCCTGCTAGCATCTTCCTCCTCACATCTTCATTTCTGTCCCTATCTACTGAGGTACTATGCTGCTTCCCTGCACATCGCCCAGATCCTTTGTGCCTGGAAATACCCACCTGCATCCACGAAGGTGCCGCCTTGATGCCTGAAAGTGTTACAGGGCAACCCCGATATAAAACGGGTTGCCTGACTGTGGGTCCTTACCCATGCGCTTAAATGGGACTTATTAATACTCAACTGCAGGTGTCCCGACCCGTGGGATTCGTAGGCACGAAAAGAGAAGGGCTGAGGATTGAAATGAGGGGCTTGAGACAACTTGACGCTAACAGTTGCTTCTTTATTTTTTCTTTACCTTCTCTTACTTTTCCATGTCTTTCTTTTCCCTGTCTTTCTACCTTCCCTGGCCTTCTCTCTGCTCCTCTCGCAGTATCCTCTCTACTCTCTCGTGGTTCTCTTCTTATACCCTGGTAGCTCCTCCATCGTACCTCCCAGTCTCACGTGATTTACAGGAAAACCAGTGGTTTCTCAGAAGGCTAAACGGTAAAGCGAAACTTAGCTCATCGCACGCATGTGCAACACGGCGCATGCTCCCGATGGCTCCGGACATGCAGGCACACACAAAAGGTTAATAAAAGGTTTATTTACAAGGGAAAGTGGAAATGAGGAAATGTACAACTCAGGGAGAAAAGAGGGAGATAAAGTCTTAAATGTGTCCTCGTTCCGCCAACCCGGAATCCCAATGGCACACGGAGAGCCAAGAGCCGTGAAGCCAAGAGCGAGCCCCAAGGCCCACGTGTCTTATTTTTTTTTTTTAAGATTTATTAATTTTTATACAAGAACTGGAGTATAAGCCAGATGCGCAGGAGGGTGAGAGGATTCACCAGAGACAGAGCGGGGAACAGAACAGGCAGACGATCGAAAGCACTGCTGAGGGGAGCAGCGGGTGAGACAGGAGAGGTCTGCTGCGCCATGTGGGATTCTCGCTGGCCAGCTGGGATCGAACCCACGCTGCAGGGGCTGCAGACAGCTTCACAGTGTGGTGCTCAACCACCTGAGCCACCAGGGAGGCCCCATGTGTCTGATTTTATACCAAACCTGGCAGCTTAACTCCGCCCTCAGGTCACAGCAACCCTCCCTTTTGTGATGATGGGATTTGTCATTTCCAGTGTTTTGATGGCTTTGGTCTGGAGTGGGGGTGGAGTCCACAAACCCTGTATGGAATTAACTCAGGACATCCTTTCCCCCTAACAAAAGTGCAAAATGTCTAAAGATCAAAGTTACCTTCTTCCCCAAAGCTGCCTTTCTTCCTGTGTCTCATCTCTTGGAGAGTGGGATTACTGTGTGGACCCCTTTGCTGAAGCCAGAGACATGGTCATGCTTGACTCCTTGTACTGACAGCCCACAATTATTAATAATACTCGTTGTTTACTAGATACTTGGTACTGTGCCAGAGGCTTTCCCTATGTAATTCATTTACTCCTCACAACATTTCCATGAGGGAGGTGTTATTTTTATTGTCATTTTGCAGATGGAAAAACAGACACAGGTTGTGCATCTCATTCAGGTAACAGCTAGATGGCACTGTAACAGGGTGGTCCCCAGGAAAGGGGGAGGTTCCAGGTTCCCTGCCCCACCCAAGGAAGGGTGGAGCTGAGCAGGAAGAGGAGAAGCTGCAGAAGAGACTGAGGAAGGAAGCAGGATGGAGCCAGAAGGAGACCTGGAGGAGGCGCATGGAGCCTAGAGAAAAAGTTTCTTCACGTGTCTCTAGGCTCCATGCGCCTCCTCCAGGTCTCCTTCTGGCTCCATCCTGCTTCCTTCCTCAGTCTCTTCTGCAGCTTCTCCTCTTCCTGCTCAGCTCCACCCTTCCTTGGGTGGGGCAGGGAACCTGGAACCTCCCCCTTTCCTGGGGACCACCCTGTTACAGCACAACTGGGGTGCTGACCCTATTCCAACCTCAGAACCTGTCCTCCTAACATGCTCCCTAAATCCAACAGTCATCATGAACCATAGCGCCTAGTTCTTAAAAATATCTCTGATCTTCGTCACATTCCTTTACCCCCTTTGCCTCTACCTCGCTCCCTGGAGGTCCAGAAGAGTTGTCTCCTGTCCTCTCCTTTCATGCTGCAGCTGGAGTAGATCTTTAAAAAACGCAAAGCTATCACTTACTAAGCAGAAGGCCTTTTAAGCCTTCCTTGCTGCAAAAATCCCTATTCTATTTTATAATCTAGAACCTGCTACCCATTCACTGTATTTCTCAGTATTTCTTCCTCTGCAACTCCAGGAGGCCCCTCCTCCAGCTACAAAGCATACAGTCTCTCTGCTTCCCTGCTTGCACTGACCCCCAGGATAGGCCCTTCCCTTTTCTCTCCTTGGAATGTGGGAAGGTGAAGAAGACAGGTTGCCTCATAATGGGTGACCTTAGGCAAGCTGCCACACCTGCACTCAAGTTTCCTCTCTGAAAAGGCAAGGCTGTTGAAGAAGTTTGGTCTGATACACTTTTATACTTCCTTTGCCACCATTCAATTTGTTTGTTTGTTAATTCAACAAGTACTTCTTGAGCTTTGCTTTGTGCCTGTCCCTGTAGGCAGTGAACAAAACAGACAATCTTTTGTGTGCTGACAGAGAAATAGTAAACTAATGGAACATTTAGAATGCCCAAGGTGGGAAGTGCTAGGAGAAAAATGAAGAGGTAGTGAGGCAGACGGTGTTGGGTATCTGTATTTTAATGAGGTGCTCAGAGCAGTTGGTGAGAAGAGAATGTTAAAAGACCTCAAGGAGGGAAATAATTGGGTGAAATGTTCCCTACTTAAAAGGTGCAGCAGACCTCTCCTGACTTGCCTGCTCCTCCCTTCAGCAGTGTATTTCATTCAGTTCACCTGCTCTACTCTCCACTCTGTCTCTGGTGAGTCCTCTCACCCCCCACACCTCTGGCCTGTACCCCAGCTCTTGTATGCATAAATAAATAAATCTTTAAAAAATTAAAAGGCTCATGTTTCTTCTAGATCTCTTTTTGCCCATAAAATAACCACTTGACACTGAGAGTGCTCTATCTGTTTTAAATTAAGGTTGCATAAAAGTAATACCTTTAACGAGGTGTTGACACAAAGCAAAACACATAGAGGAGCAACTGCTGTTTGCAGGATGCTGGGAGCCCCCAAGTTTCAGGCCTCAGACCCTGTGTCTACCTACAAGCCATCCCCTCGACTTTGCTAGGCACTAGCTGCATTCCTCAAAAGGAACACAGTGACACATGCGCTGCTCCCGGTCACCCAGTGCTGCTCTTCAGAAGAGACCTGTATTACCTGTTACTTGTTATTCTCTTAGAGATGTGTGTGTGTGTGTAAACTTGAAAAACCAAACAAAAAAGCTTCACAAATAGTAACATTTGTGTCTTGGACTTTTTTTTTTTTCACTAACAGTATATCTTGCTAGGGTTGCTTTATGTCATTACCATTAGGGTCACATCTTTTTTTGATTGCATAATACTTTTATTTTTTTAAGATTTAGTTGTTTATGCATACAAGAACAGGGGTATAGACCAGAGGTGCGGGGGGTGGGATGAGAGGATTCACCAGAGACAGAGTGGGGAACAGAAGAGTCAGATCTACTGAAACACTGCTGAGGGGAGCAGTGGGCCAGACAGGAGAGGACTGCTGCGCCATGTGGGTCACTTAACCTGGCCGGCCGGGGATCGAACTCATGGTGCAGTGGCTGGCGATAGCTTGATAGCACTGTGTCTTTAACCCCTGTGCCACCAGGGAGGCCCTGCATAATACTTTTAAAATAAATGTCCCTTAATTGATGTAACTTATTCTCCATTGATGGGTGTTTGTAATATTTTTAATCTTTTGCTGGTATAAGCAATGCTATAATGAACATCCCTGAATGTACATTTTTTGCACATAGCTATGGTGTGTCTGTAAGCTAAATGCTCAGAGGTGAAATTGCTAGATCAGAGGGAATGTGCATGTACATTTGACCCGTGTGACTACATCGCTCTTACACTCCCACTAATAGTGTCTCCTCACTGCTTCACCAACATGGTGTGTTATCAGGCTCTTTGATCTTTGCCACTCTGATAGATGAAAAGTGATATCTTTGTAAATATGCCTTCTTGTTATGAATGTGACTTTCTATGTGTTGTTCCTCATTGGATTTTCTCAGTAATCGCTTTTCTGATAAGATTCCATCCCCCTATTTGTGTTTTTTTTCTTAAGGTGTGTTCTTATTACCATGTTCATATTTCCATGTGATACTGGTGTATTGGTGGTACATTCCCCAAAGCAATATTGTTAAGAAGGCACATATTATCTGTGTAATGGATGCCTGTAAATGTTTTCCAAGTGTTATGTAAAGTGGATTAAAACACTAAATATAACCAATAGCTTTATCTGCATATTTTGATCTTCAAGCTAGGATACAGGTAGATACCAAGGAATAACAATGTATAGCATGTCTATAGGAAACATGTCATCTGAGGGGAACCCCCAGATCCAGAGGCAGGAGGGAGGCGACAAGAGTAACTAGTTCTCAGTTTTTCCCTGTAAGGAAGAGATCATCAGATCAGGTAAAGCAAAAAGTTTTACCTGATACTGGATACTTGGGTAGGATCAGTCCCCTCCTATTTGTTCTGGTCCTAGAACCCACTTAGGTCTGCCCTTTAATCAGGGCACAGGAACTAGGGCTCCCAACCTCAGAGCTCTGAAAAGTTTATTTGGAAGAGCAGCAGGGGCGCTCAACATCCTGCCCCCTTGCAGAAGCACAGTGAACACGTGGGTTGCTTCTGTTTTCCAGCTGCAGTTGGGTTTCTGGCTGTGTCAAGTGTCATCACCATGTCTGCACCCTTCTTCCTGGGGAAGATAATCGATGTCATTTATACAAACCCCACTGGGGACTACAGCAGCAGCCTGACCCACCTGTGCCTGGTGCTCAGCGGTGTGTTCCTGTGTGGTGCTGCTGCCAATGCTGTTCGTGTCTACCTCATGCAAACTTCAGGTGAGAAGTCCTTCATCTCAGGCCACTGGGTCATTCTGGAGAACACTACTAGAATCATGGGGCTTGTCTGAACCTCAGGTTTCACCTGTACCAGGTCCTGGTCATTTCCTCTCTCCCCAGAATGAAATTCAGTGGGGACAAATTCCAGTGTCTGGCCATATGTTAGAATAATGAATTTTTTCCGCTCAAGCACTCACCTCAACTCACCTTTTAATGAATTGAAGGTGAACCATCTCTCTTCTGGGAGGTAGAACAAGGCTCTGGTGGAGAAGGTGGCATGCTGGACCTTCTGCAGGGAGCCGCAGTAGCCATGACCCACTCCATGCTGTTTCCCCTTTAGTGGTTGTTGGGATTACAGCTCTTAAGTGCTTCTGTGATGAGGCCTAGTTGTTAACAAGCTGGTGGCAGCCAACGTAATGCCCAAGCCTGGGACATCCAACCCAAAGTCAGTTGCTCTATGTGTGGCTAATCAAATCTCCTGTAGATAATTAGCCTATTCTTGACAATGGAGCATACACACAGAAAAGGGATACCAGGGAGAAATGAACATAGCTTTTGAAAAATTACTGTAAAACTCCTTTGTAAATAATAATACTTTTAAAAAGCTCCTATTTTATTTCTGCACTCTCTTCTCAGGAATGCAGTCTGTAGTTACTAAGAGAAAATGACTGCTCCTTAACAGTGTTTGCCTGTCACTGACCCAGGGTGTCGATGAGCCTTGCTCCACCGGATCAACACAGGATACCTGGTGTGCCTCAGAGGCTGAAGCAGCTCAGAGCAAGTGGTTCCATTCAGCTGAGCTGCCCTGTCAGGTGGCACTTCCCTTGTTGACGCTGTTCCTGTTTGTTTTGCAGGTCAGCACATCGTGAATAGGTTGAGAGCTTCACTGTTCTCCTCTATTCTGAGGCAGGAAGTTGCTTTCTTTGATAAGACCCGCACAGGAGAGTTGATTAACCGTCTCTCATCAGACACTGCACTCCTGGGGCGCTCAGTGACTGAAAACCTCTCCGATGGGCTCAGGGCCGTGGCCCAGGCTTCCGTCGGCATCAGCATGATGGTATGTTGGTTTGGCTTTTGTTGTACCTCCGGTCAGGACTTGGCCTGCACCAGGCCTCTCAAGCACAAGACAAGCTTGAGGTGAGCAGTTCTCCTCACTCCAGAAGCCACTTGGCCAAGAGCGCTGTCCCATGGACTGTGGAGATGGCTGCCTCTTCACTTCTCCAGAATGAATTTTTATCTGGAGAGTGGACTCTTGCATTTAGAAAACACTGTCATCTGGGTTTTCTGAGAATGAGTGAGCCCACGGTATGAAGGCAGGAAAGAGCAAGAGGAAAGATAGTAAGTTACACCCCCCAAAGCTGTCATTGCTAGCTTGACAAGCTCAAGGGATCATCTCCTTCCTTCCTCTCCTCAGAAAGAGATGAAGTGCATCTTTCAGACACATCAGTAGTTCTGTGTTCCAGGGTGAGCCCTCTGTTCCCACTGCCTTTGTCTCCCTGACTAGATGGCTGAGCTCTCCATCGCACCTGCTCAGCTCACTCCTTTAAACGAGGTTTCTCTTCAGACGCATACTGTTGGCAGGTAGAAACATGATGCAAGCCACACGTGTAATTGTATCCTAGTAGGCACATTTAAAAAGCAAAAACAAAGAGAAGATATTAATTTTAATAAGAAATTTTACTTAATATAAACAAATTAACAATCAACATGTAATTGCTATAAAATTATTAATCAGATTTTTTTTTCATATTAGGATTTCAAAATCTGGTATGTACTTTATAGAAATGAAACATCTTAATCTGGATGCTAAATTTTCATTAGAAATACTTGATCTGTATTTAGATTTCATAAAACTTGCAGCTGGAAAAGGTAAATCGAGATACCATATCTTACAGACATACTTAAGAGTTTACCAATAAGTGAATGGAAATGAACAATCAAAATTTTTTATTTAAATTTTTAATACAACTAAACATTTAAAATTCAGTTCCAGGCCTCCCTGGTGGCTCAGTGGGTTGAATGCAGTACTCTGAAACTGTCCACAACCTCTTCAGTGCGTGTTCAATTCCCAGCTAGGGAGATTCCCACATGGCACCGCAGACCTCTCCTGCCTCGCCCGCTCTCCCCTCAGCAGTGTATTTCGGTCCTTCTGTCTGTTCTGCTGCCCACTCTGTCTCTGGTGAATACTCTCACCCTCCCATGCCTCTGGCCTGTACCCCAGTTCTTATATAAAAATAAATAAATCTTAAAAAAAAAAATAAAATTCAGTTCCTAAAGTCACACTAGCCATATTTCAAGTGCTCAGTAGTCACAGGAGCCTCTCATTTTAGACACTCTCCAGACCCTGAGAGTGAGGACTGCATCTAATCATTTCTCATGGTGGAATAGCTTGGGTTTTGTCCTCTCTCTCTCCCATGCAGCATTCAGTCCTAAGCAGAAGAATGTGTTGCCAGAGTGAGCCTTTGAGATCTGACTTATGGAATGGAAAGCAGCTTTGTAATCTCAGATTTTCCCAGCCAAGAGAGGAGCAAAACTCTGGAAGAAGGCCCCAACTATATAGCACAGCACCAATTCTAAATATTAATAGTTCTGGGGTTCAGGAAGAATTGGGTACTTCTGTTTTGTAATGGTTAAGGAGAGTTCAGAGTAGTTTGGATGGCAAATTAGAAGGGGTCTGTCTGAGCTCTGGCTGCAGCGGCGAAGTACCATAGACTGAGGGGTGAAGTAATAGACTTTCCTCACGGTCCTAGAGTCTAGATGGCCAAGAAGGCCAAACTACTGGCAAGGTAGTTCGTCCTGATCCCTCTTCTCTTGGCTTTAGGCAGAGACCTTCATGCTTGTGTGGAGAGAGCAGGTGCTCTGGTGTCTCTCCAAAGGACAAGAGAAAGAGAATAACCTTTCTGAATCCTGTTAGATAAGGGACCCCCCCCCATCACCTTGTTTCACCCTTCTATACTTCCTGGGAAACCCCATCTCCAAAAATAGCCACACTGGGGTTGGTACTTCAACATATGAATTTTGAGGACACAAATGTTCAGCCCAAAATAAGGCCTCATGGGGTGGTTTCACTCAGGACCTGGTCATTAGCTCTAGAGGAGCAGAAATGTGACTTTGTTTCTCTTGTACAAGCTCTCTGGTTCGCTCACTTGAACTTGAGAGCATGCAGGCCCAAGGTGGTGGAGGCTGCCTGACTGCATCACTGCCCCCGTGGGTGCCCCAATGGTGATCAGCTCCCTGCTGGCCCGCCGGCTGCCTGCCCAGGGTTGGCGATTCTGTGGACAGTGCCAGGCTTACTCCTGCCACAGGGCCTTTGTGCCCTTGCTCTTCCCAGGCCATATTATACCTGGTTATTCTCTTTCTCTTGTACCTGTTTGCCATCTAACGCCACTTCTCTTCTTCCCTCAGGTGAAACTCCACATAGGTCACTCAGTGCCCAGGTGCCTGGAATAGTGTCTTCACTCCAGTAACAGCTGGGCAGTGAGTGAATGCATGACTGATCCAGCCCTTACATTTCAGTCTGCGGCCTTGCCTCAGCATTTTAGAACATCTTTATACCAATTATATTATTTTTGGTGCAAATGAAATTTGGCAGCTTTAAATAATTTATTAAAGAGATGCTTGTACTATTTAAAACCTGCAACACCAAATTGCAGGATTGACAGGAAAACCCCTGTACTACTTCTCAAAGTTGACTATTTTTGACCTGAGCAACTCCACTTACTAGGAAGTTCTCTCTTATGTTGAGACCAGATCATCCTGCCAAGACTTCAGTTCAGTGAGCCATGAAACAACTCTGATTCTCCTCCCACTTGTAGTTATGTGCCACCTAAAGTCCTCTTTCAACTGTTCTTCACATGATGTGGGTTTTTTTTTTTTTTTTTTAAAAAAGATTTATTTATTTATTTATACAAGCACTGGGTACAGTCAGAAGCGCGGGAGGGTGAGAAAATTCACCAGAGTCAGAGCAGGGAGCAGAGCAGGCAGAAGGACTGAAGTACAGTGCTGAGGGAGCAGCGGGCGGCAGGAGAGGTCTGTGTGCCATGTGGGACCCTCCTCTGGTGGCCGGGGAGCAGCCAGGGATCGAACCGGCGCTGCAGAGGCTGCAGGCAGCTTAGCAACCCAGCACTCAACCGCTGCGCCACCGGGGAGGCCCTGACGTGGGGTTTTTTTTTTGTTGTTGTTGTTTTTTGTTTTTGTCTCTCTGCCCTCTTGGTCATTTATTTCAGTGGGACACTTTGCACTGGCTGCTTAGCACCCTTGAGGTGATCCAAATTTAAACACAGAATTCCTGGTGTGGTCTGGCCAGCATGGAGCTGGACAGGCCTCCTCCCTTCACTCCTGCCCTGCTCCCCTCCCCGTCACTGCACAGCTGGTCTAAGGCACACAGCACTGGGGTAGCACCATCCCAGCACTGGTACAGCGTTGGTGGGTAAGACATTTCCACCCCTTCTTCAGCAGCTCTCTGTCATAATACTCATGTGTGACACACTATTTGTGGGGTTTTATGAAGGTTGAAGATGTGTGAAACATTCCAGCAAAACAGGATGTACAACCAGGAGACAACACCCTCGAGCTGCCTCTACTTTAAATGCGCACATACCTCCAGTGGGTAATGAGGATCTCTTGCTGCTGCATCTAACGGATGCCATTTTTGGCTTTTGCTTTAACAGTTTTTTGTCTCACCTACTCTGGCCACATTTGTTTTGAGTGTGGTGCCTCCAATATCCATCCTCGCTGTAATTTATGGACGATATCTACGGAAACTGACCAAAGTCACACAAGATTCCCTGGCACAAGCCTCTCAGGTAAAGACCCCTCTGCTTAGTCTCCTGTCTACCTATATAGATGATGTGGCTGTATAGATATATATAAATAGGACTGTTCCATACACTCTGCTTTGTAGCCTATTTTTTACTTACTCCTGTATCACAAGCAGCTTTCCACTGCACTATCTTAAAAACGAGAACCACGTTTTAACTTTGTCTCTACAGTTTTGAAATGTAAGTTTCCTTCCCCTAAAATATATTTATTATTCTCCTAGCTAGCTGAGGAACGATTTGGAAATATAAGAACTGTTCGAGCTTTTGGAAAAGAAATGACTGAAATAGAGAAATATAACAGCAAAGTAGATCATGTGATGCAGCTAGCAAGGAAGGAGGCATTTGCCCGGGCTGGCTTCTTTGGAGCAGTAAGTAGATTGTTTTGGAAAAAGTGGAAAGGGTAGATGTTATGATTGGGAAAATTTTTTATTTTATGATGCTTGACGTAAATAGAAGATAATTCTATTCTACTTCAAGACTAGGATTTACCTTCCTTGAAATATTTCTGTGAAAAAGGAGGGAAATGAGTAAATACAAGTAAAGAAAAGGCAGAGAACAAAATAATATGGAATCAACGCTGCTGCTCAAAGTGTGGTCTGAACCAGTCACATTACTTCACATTACTTCTCAGACTTAAGGACTGAGATTTATGAGCATATTTCCTTCAATATTGCAATATTTCAAATGTATTTTTATTTGCAATTCAGATTAAAACTTAATATTATAGAAAAGTCTTGCTATGATAGTTAAATGCAAAAAAAAGAAAATTATGGGCCACGTTAGCACTTTTTTCGCTGGGGTCTTCAGTTCCTGCCTAACTTTTGTATCTTCTTCATTTGACAGACTGGGCTGTCCGGGAACCTGATTGTGCTTTCTGTCCTGTACAAGGGAGGGCTGCTGATGGGCAGTGCCCACATGACTGTGGGTGAACTCTCTTCCTTCCTGATGTATGCTTTCTGGGTTGGAGTAAGCTTTGGAGGTACATAATTTAAATAGGCTTGGGGAATTATATAAATTAAATATCAGGTCATAGTTGCTGAAATAAAAACTTTACCATTATTCTATCTCTCACCAATTAACTTCAACTGAAAAAACGTGTCTGAGAATATTATTCCAACTTGACTTTGAAAGACAGACTAAAGGGGCCTCCCCGGTGGCGCAGCGGATTGAGCACAGCGCTGTGAAGCTGTCTGCAGCCTCTGCAGCGTGGGTTCGATTCCCAGCCAGCCAAGGAGATACCCACATGGTGCAGCAGACCTCTCCTGTCTCACCCACTGCTCCCCTCAGCAGTGCTTTCGGTCCCTCTGCCTGTTCTGCTCCCCACTCTGTCTCTAGTGAATCCTCTCACCCTCCCACGCTTCTGACCTGTACCCCAGCTCTTGTATAAATAAATAAATCTTTAAAAAAAAAAAAAAGGAAAGAAAGACAGAATAAAGGTCTGAGTGTGATCCTTCAAATAAGTGAGCAGTTCTTTGGTTGGGAAGCTTAGGGCTTTTGCAGGCTTCCTGAGGCTCCTGAGCTCAGGGTCACAATGGAGCCGTATTCTCCACCCTATATGTTAAAGAGCTTGTTCACTGTAGTCATAGAATGCAGCGGCAGGATGGCTCTAAAATAGTTCTGAAATATGTTCATTTCCCTAAAAGAAAGTCCTGTACTAATTAAGCAGTCTCTCTCATACCTCTCCCTTTCCTATCTCCTAGCAACCACAATTGTTTTCTGTCTCCATGTATTTACTTATTCCAGATATTTCATATAAATGGAATTCTATCATATGGCCGTGTTTGTTTGGCTTCTTTCACTTACCATAATGTTTTCAAGCTTCACCCCCATTACAATGTAGATCAGTAGCCTTCCACTTTATGGGTGAATAATATTCCATTGTACAGACAGACATTTTGTTTATCCAGGGACATTTTGTTTTTGTTTTTCAGAGTCTAAACTCTTTATTATACTGACCTACCTCCAATTTCTTCCCTTCATTTCACTTCTTTTCAAGTAATGAAATTTTTTTCAGAGGAGTTTTAGGTTCACAACAAAATTGAGCAGAAAGTACGGAGATTCCCCATATAACCTTTAACCACACAAGCTCCCCATTATCAATATTCCCCACCTGAGTGGTACATTTGTTACAATTGATGAACCTACACTGAGCATCTTTATCACTCAGGGTCCATAGCTTATTTTAGGGTTCACTCTTGTTCATTCTATGAACTTGAACAAATATATAATTACATGTATCCACCATTATAGTTTCAGTGTAATATTTCAGTTTCTGAAAATCCCCTGTGCTCAGCCACATCCTGCCTTCCTTGATAACCACTAATCCTTTCACTTTCTTCATGGTTTTGCCTTTTCCAGAATGTCACTTAGTGGAAATCATACAGATGTAGACTTTTCTGATTGGTTCCTCTCGTGTAGCAATATACATTTAAGGTTGTTTCGAGTGTTTTATGGGGACTAGGTGATTTCTTTTTAGCATTGACTAATATTGCATTGTCTTATATACCACATTGTAGTACAGTGTAGTCCATTTATACAATGAAGGGTATCTTGGTTACTTCCAAATTTTGGCAATTATGAATAAAGCTGCTGTCAGAATCTCAGTGCAGGCGTTTGAGTGGACCTACGTTTTCAACTCCTTTGTGGACACGCAAAGAATGAGATTGCTAGGTTATGTAGTCAGTGTGCATTTAGTGTTGTAAGAGCTGTCTAACTGCCTGCACAGTGACTGTGTCGTTGTGCACCCCCACATCAATGGGCGAGGTTTCCTGTTGCCCCAGAGCCTTCCAGCTCTTGGTGGTGTCAGAATCTTTAATTTTCTTTGTTCCAATAGGTGATAGTGTCTCACTGTTGTTTTAATTTGCAGTTCCCTAATGACATAGGATGTGGAGCATCTTTGCAAATGCTCATTTGCTGTCAATATATCTTCTCTTGGTGAGGTATCTGTTCACGTCTATTGCCCACATTTTAATCGGGTTGTTTGTTTTTTAATTGTTGAGTTTTAAGAATGCTTTGTGTAATTTCAATACCAGTTATTTTTTCAAAAATTTATTTATGCATACAAGAGCTGGGGTGTAGGCCAGAGGTGAAGGGGGCCGTGAGAGGATTCACCAGAGACAGAGCAGGGAGCAGAACAGGCAGATTGACTGAAATACACTGCTGAGGGGAGCAGCAGGCAAGACAGTTGAGGCCTGCTGCACCATGTGGGTCGCTCCCTGGCCGGCTGCCTATAGCTTCATAGTGCTGAGACTTAACTCCTTGCACCACCAGGGAGGGCCTCCATACCAGTTCTTACCAACTAGGTCTCTTGCAGAGATTTACTCAGTCTTTGATTTGTCTTCTTATTCTCTTCACACAGGGTCTTTCTGCAAAGCAGAAATTTTTAATTTTTGTGTATCTTGCTTTAGTGATATATCTCATTAAACCTGAGGTCATCTAGGTTTTCTCCTATGTTAATTATTTAGGACTTATATAGTTTTGCATTTTATATTCAGGTCTATGGTTAATTTTGAATTAATTTTCATGAAGGTGTAAGATCTGTGTCTAGATTCATTGTTTTGCTTGTGGATGTCCACTTTCTCCAGCATCACCTGTTGAAAAGACTCCTTTCTCTACTGACTTGCCTGTGTTCATTTGTGAAAGATCGGTTGATTATTTATGTTGGTCTGTTTCTGTGCCCTTTCTGTTCCATTGATCTCTTTGTCTGCCCAGCGCATTTTTAATTCAACTTGAAGGTTTGAATCCACTGTATCTTGCACAAATATCTATAAATAATGCACAAATATATCTTAGGAGACATATTTGCATTGCATTTTTTCAGTATCTTTACTGAAGGAAAGTGTTACATGCATATGTTCAGGCTGATGAAATGGGTCAGTTTCATGTCATTAATTAAATCACAGTTCAAAGGTGACTTACTGCTGGAAACATGAATGGGCCTTGAACACATTATGTTAAGCGAGATGGGTCCAAAAGGTGAGGACAGGAACTATATGATAGCACTTGTATATGGGATCTTAAAAGGTCAAACCCATTAAAGAATAGAGGTAGAATATTTCACTTTATCAAGTGACTTTTCAGCTTCCAGCCTAGTGAAAGTTACATTCATTGAGTGCCTGAAGGGGAGGTTTGATTTTGTGGATATGAATTTAAAATAGCTATTATAGTATTTTATATTCTTTCAAAGTATGGGACAAGCATAGCATTTTTACTTATAATTTTGACTAAGTAGACTTTCTCTGTAACTTTGTGATTTCAATTTGATGGTTGATTCCTATGACTATTTGTTTACAAATCTCCTGATCAAACATTAAATACTTAGCAGAAATCGAGAAATTGGAGGAGGAAAAGATGAAGACAATTTAAATAATTTTTAAAAATTTTTAAATAATTTAAAAAATTTAAATAAAGGTATGAGGCAGAGGGAATTCTGAATAGTTTCTAAGTAGCTGTCTTAAATCCTTTCTTGAAAATAACAAATTTTATTAAAAGCAAGTTACTGTTATTGTTCCTGAGGGATTACAGTAACAGATAGCCATTTCCTGGAGCCAGTGATGCATGCTGTGGCATTGCTTCTCATCCTCAGGTCTGAGCTCCTTCTACTCGGAGTTGATGAAAGGACTGGGTGCCGGGGGACGCCTCTGGGAGCTCATTGAGCGAGAGCCTGAGCTTCCTTTCAATGGTAGGCCTGAAATTGGTTTCGTCTTTTCTGGGGCTAAACAAATGTGACTTTGGGCAGCTAGACAGCTCCTTGCTCTCCCTGGGAAGGATGAGCATGACAAGGGCATCATCCTTGGCAGGGGAACGGTCATCAGAGGAAGGACTGCTGCTGGGATGTTGCTGCAGCCAAAGAGATCCTGGGAAGTGTGGAGGCTGGAAGCACAGTGTCCTGTCCACTGTTTACCTCCCTGTCGGTGCTGTGTTACCACTGCAGCAAGGCAGAAATGAGCACAGCCAAGGGGTGGAAATAGGAGGGACCCTGGCCAGTCAAGCGAATTTGTTTTCCCTAGTGATTTTGCACTGCTACCAGTCATAGGAGGAAAGGAAGAGGGATCACACTATAAAGTCTCAACATTTCTTGGCTTGGGGTATGGAGTGAGGGGTGCCAGTGCTAATTGGGTAGAGCCAACTCTTTTATCAGCTATTTCCCAGGAAGCCAGTGCAAGCCTGGGCCAATGAGGGCCCAGGAGAAGTGTAGTGGTGAGCAGTATCCACTCCCATCTACTGACCCCTGGGACTTTTTCGGTTAGCCCAGGTTAGTTAAATAAAAGCCCAGTATATTCTCCATTGTGATAGGCTGTATAAGAAATAAGCTCAGTTGAGAAAGATTGAACAATTCTCTTAACTCAGCAGCAAGGTAATACCAGGACACTAGAACATACCTTTGACCCCTCTAGCTCTATGGCCGATGTGCAGTGCCCACCTATTTATCATCATTCTCTCATTCTCTCAGAACTTTATTTAGAGTGAATAAGGAAAACCCTGGACCAAGACAACTACAGGGAGAATGTGACTGGGTTTGAAGCCAGACAGCTGCAGGGGTGGATACTAACTCCATTACTTGCTCGCTTGGGCAGTTGTAGTCTCTGAGCCTCAGTGTCCTGTCAGTAAAACTTGGGCAGTCATTTCTACTTCTCATGGCTGGGAGATCACACAAGACTGTGTATTTGCAGAGCAGGCACCATTAGGCATCACACAAAGTCCTTTCCCTGCTCAGCCAGTAGGGGCTCAGACTCCAGGACAGCCATGGTGGTGCTGTCTGTCTATGTGGGAGAACCGTGAGTTTGATCCTGCATTAAGTTAATACTAATCTGTTTATATTCCAGAGGGGGTCATCTTAAGCGAGAAAAGCTTCCAAGGTGCTTTGGAGTTTAAGAACGTGCATTTTGCCTATCCGGCTCGCCCAGAGCTGTCCATATTCCAGAACTTCAGCCTTTCGATCCCATCAGGATCAGTCACAGCACTGGTTGGCCCAAGTGGTTCTGGCAAATCAACAGTGGTTTCCCTCCTCCTGAGATTGTATGACCCAGTTTCTGGTGAGTAGTTTGCCCTATGTGGGGCTAGAGAGCGCTCCTGAGCCTCTACTCTTGTACTCTGGGATGGGATCTCATTGTGCAAAGACCTTGTAGTGTGAGAGCTCTGAATGCCAGAGGGCTTGTTCCCAGGAAAGAAAATCCCTTAAACAAAGGTGTCACTTTTAGAACTATGACAGCTCATATTGGAGGTCTGTTAGGCATTTTGTCTATTTCATGTCTCACCTCTTCAAGTCTAGAGTACCTCCTGAATCCCCCCCACCCATCTCCTATGCTGGTGTCCCTGATGCCCTCCTACTAGGAGGGAGACAGGCCAGGCTGCTCAGTGGCTATAAGAAGGTGCCTCCTGGCACTGCCACCCATGACCGGTACCAGGGAGTAAGTGTCAGGAGCTTCAGCTGCTGAGCCTATGCAGGAACCATAGTTGCTCCTGGAGCCCTCTGACTGCTTGTACCTGCGAAGTGCTCTGTGGTTAGTGTGAAAACAGGTATTTGAACACCAATGATTCACCTCTATATGATTGTTCCATGGAAGCTGTTTTGGGGAGTAAGGATTTTTTTTATGAATCTTTCTTTTCTTGATATTTACTTTATTCTTAACTGTATTATAGCATTTTTTAAAGCAGAGGACACTTTGTTTCACTTATACCCTTTTTTTTAAAGATTTATTTATCCATTCATACAAGAACTGGGGTATAGGCCAAAGGTGTGGGGGGTGAGAGGATTCACCAGACACACAGTGGGGAGCAGAATAGGCAGACTGAGTGAAATACACTGCTGAGGGGAGCAGTGGGCTAGACAGGAGAGGTCTACTGCACCATGTGGGTTGCTCCCTGGCTGGGGATCCAATTCATGCTGCAGTGGCTGAGGATAGCTTCATAAGTTGCATCTTAACCCCTTGTGCCACCAGAGAAGCCCACTTATACCCTTTTTTGTTGAGATATAATTGATTGATAACATGTTAGTTTCATTTGATACATGTATGTATTGCAAAATACTAACCACAATATTGTCTGGTTAATATCCTTTACCACCTATAGTTACAACATTTATATCCTTCTTTATGTCAGACCCTTGGGTAGGTATTCCATATGTGATATTTTATTTTGAGTTGAGAAAATAATGATATTTCCCAGCAAGTAAACATCTGTTAGTAAAAATCAAAACAGAAATCTAAATAGAATGGCTTATGGTTTTTGTATGTGTGCTTTTTGGTTAAACCAATGACAGCTGATTATGTGCTGAGTAATTATTTGACTTGCAGATCTGACCATAGAATCACTAACTATGTTAAAATGGGTGCTATTACACTGTCTGTGGAATCACTGTCTTAATTCACTCTATTTGCTCTAAATCTGCATTTTAAAAAATTCTACAGGAAGACCTAATCTCTTTAACTTTTACCAGTGTGGAGAGCAGCAACTTAAATCTACTAATGCTGTGCCTTTCCTGATGACCTCCCATAACTGTCCCTCCTGCCCCAACATCCTTTGCTAAGATATTTAAAGTGGTGGCTTAAGTTTTTTGCTGAGTTACTAAGTTTTATTTGGTTTCTTCTATGTGTACAAGAGATATAGATGGATTATCAACTTATTTTTGGTTTAAAAAAAGAAAAATCCTAGCTAGGTAGATGCAAATCAAGTCAAAATATCAAATCCCTCATTTCTTCATCACAGTGAATAAATTAAGAGGAAAAGAAACTACATTTAAATTCCTGCCCATGTACTGTAGAACAGCTTATACTTTCAAGGTCAAAGAGCTCAGGTTTTTCCCAGTGTATGAAGGTTTCCAACTGGCTTGTATAATTCACACCACTCACTGAGAAGACATGGCTTTCCCTTTGTTAGTCATCATCATCATCACCAGACATTGTTGAGTTCCCTCATTGTGCAGAATTAATTTTATTGGCTACATCTAATTATTTAGAATCTCTGCCCCAATATCGATGAGATGCTTAGTTGCATGTAACAAATTCTCCTCCAACTAAGTGCATACAGGGAGGGGTATTTTAAGGAGTTATGAAAGTATTTAATGATCTTTGGTGGGGTTGGACTTTCAACACACCATGCAGAACTTTACCAGGTCTTCAAGGTAGCTGCCAGTGGTGACGTGGTCAGCGAATTGGAGAATTAGGCAGTCACTGTCATGGGTTCAGTTTCAGACTGTGTCCCTTCTTCCAGTGTTTGTGTCAGCAAGTGACACCTTGTGGCTTGCCCCTCTCCCCTCTAACTCCTGAATCAGAGCTTTGCATTGGTGCACCTTTGTGGATTCTGAGTCTGGGAAGCTGTCTGCAACCTCTGGATGAAGGAGCCAGGGCTGGATGGATGAACTAGAGGGGCTAGTCATCTAACCACTGAGGAAGTGAGTAGATCTAGAGAGTCTGTGAGATATGTTGTTTTAGTTTCTGTTTAGAGATTTTGAGTATCTTTAAAAAGCTGAGTCTGGAGCCTGCCTGCCAGATTCTTTCTGTCTTTACATTAGTCATGGGCCCCGGGACTCTCAGTGACTTTCATTTTCTCTTTACAAGGAACTATCAGTCTTGATGGCCATGATATCCGCCAACTAAATCCCGTCTGGCTGAGATCGAAGATTGGGACAGTGAGTCAGGTACGAGAGGATTCTGTTTTTATTAAACTTTCGTTTTAAATTGCTTTTTATCAATTGTCTTGTCAATCTCACATGGCAGATTGCTTGGGTTGGTAAATAGTGCTGTTCCTAAAAACCTTATACACTTTAACTAGTTGATACATTGACTTTTTAATCAAAAGCTAGGACGTGAGAATGGGGAAAAAATGATATAACTTTTCAGCTTCTATTGACTCTTCAGAAATTCCATTTTCATTACTAGTCACAGTCTATTGCTTTGCATAATGGGTTTCAGGGATAAGCAAGCAAAGGCTATGGCAAAAATCAGGATCTCTTTGAAAAGAGGCTGACGATTTCAAGGCAGATATTAATGGAATGTAGTGGCTTGACTCTAGGGTCAAGGCTGGGTTACACTTCTAGAGGTTGATGAGAATATTTTCCTTTTTAAAAAAGATTTATTTTTATTTATTTATGCATAAAAGAACTGGGGTGTAGGTCAGAGGTGCAAGGGGTAAGAGGATTAATCAGAGACAGGGTAGGGAGCAGAACAGTCAGATCTACTGAAATACACTGGGAGCAGCTGGCGAGACAAGATGCCTTGTGGGTCAGCTCCCTGGATGGGGATCAGACTCGTGCTGCAGTGGCTGCTGATAGCTTCATAGTGCTGAGACTTAACCCCTTATACCACAAGGGAGGCCCCGTAAACATGAATTTTTTTAACAAGTCTGTAACATTTTAACAAGTCTATTGGGTGAATTTATAGGGAATGAAGAAAATACATCTTTGGGAACAGCATGATCATTTAATATAAGTACTGTATAAAGCTCCACTGTATATACTAGATATATTTGATTTTAAGTCACTCAAATACATCTCAATTTTAATAAGATCCTCTATGCACACATTTGCTACTGAAAACTGAAATGGCACATCAAAAATTTTTATCATAGTTCAAATGTTTGAAAGCCTGGAGATCTATTAAAGCACCCTGCCCGAATTAGGCGCTAATCAAACCACCCAATAGTGGCTTACTTTCCTCCCACACAAGTTATTTTGCTCAAAGTTCCTGTGTTGCATTTCATCTCTCCAACCTGAGGTTTCTCTAAACTACACAAATAAGACCTACTAGTGCTTTTTTGAGTCAAATAAAAGAATGTAACTGAAGTACACTGAGGTCATTCATGCACAAGCAACATTAGGTTTCTTCTAAGTTACTGGAATGAAGTTAGAAAAGAGATGCAAGAAAAAGATGTCACAGAATTTGTGTCGCAGGTTACAGAACATGAGCTCAGGGTCCCTCACAGCACTGAGCAGCTCTCCCAAGCTGCTGTGTAGTGACCCACCCCAGAATTGCTGTCAAGAAAGGACAGTACAAGAATAAGGTTTATGGCTTAGTTGATTCCGTGTCATAATTTTCCTCCATGGCAATCTTCTCTTCAGGAAACTCTGTGACACTGGCAACCAACAGCACAGTGATTGTTTTTTATTCTTTTGTCAGAGAAAATTGGTTGAGGTTTGGGTATCTGATTTTTGTTCCCCTTCCCCTCCATTCTTTCTGAGCTATCATCAGTGTCTGTGCTCCCCTCCCTTAGGGGGTGCCAGCCCTGATCCCCTGTAAGATCTTTTCTTGGTGCTGCTATTAGGGTGGATATTCTGGTAGAGTGGCAGGGAGCTTCACACTAGGTTGAGTCCAGTCACTATGATTCTTTATTAGCCCTTCTGAGGTAGGTTGTGAGGCAGCTGCCTCTTCCTGGGAACTGTCTTCAGTGGACGTCTTGAGAAGACTAGGGTCAAGGCTGGGTTACACTTCTAGATAGCTCAGAAGAGAACAAGAAAAACCTGAAGTCCCCCCCCCCAAAAAAAAAAAACTGGGGAAAAAATCTTATTAGATATATTTGAAACCTGTTCTGAAATTTTCGGTAAATATATTTTATTTTCATTTTGCAGGAACCAATTTTGTTTTCGTGCTCAATTGCTGAGAACATTGCTTATGGTGCAGATGACCCTTCATTGGTGACTGCTGAGCAGATAGAGAAAGTGGCTGATGTAGCCAATGCAGCTGCTTTCATCCGAAATTTCCCTCAAGGATTCAACACTGTGGTTGGAGAAAAGGGCATTCTCCTTTCAGGTACCTTTTTAGTGCTGGTAGCAAACACTCTTCAGGCAGATCATATTGCAGTATTATTTTCTAATTAGACTTTTGTACTTAGAGTTTATGAAATTAGCTCTTCTACTTTATAAAATCTCCTTTGTATGTGGACAACTCCCCCACTTTCCTTCACTTTCTACCCTAAAGGTGTTCCTGATTTCCCACTGAGTGTGCCATTGAGTAGTACTCAGCCACAGCAGCCTTTTTCTTATCTGAGAAAAGATGTGTTTTGTGATTTGAAATCCTTGAAAATTGTAGAAAATGAGAATGATTTGTTCAGGAAAGCAGGGACTGTGACTCAGGAACAGAATTGAGAACAGAAGAGTTCTTTATCCCCCAGTTTGTACTGTACACGTCAGACCAGGGGTTGACACACTTTTCTACAAAGAGCCAGAGAGCACATATTTTAGGTCTTATGGGCCACCTGTGGTCTCTGTCACAACCCTTTTAAAACATAAAAACCACTCTTAGATCAGCCTGTAGCATTGTTTGCTGTGCCCTGTTCTAGAGGAATGAAAGACTCAGTCCTGAGGCACATTCTGTTCCCTGTGATATCTGAGCACATCTAGCTTATCATAGTGAATTGTGGGTGCTGTATTTTCAGGAGCCAGAGAACCTTTTAATTTAATTTAATTTTTTTTTTTTTTTTGCTTCAGAGTGCAGATGTGGGACCAATGAGTACAACTTACGGGGAAATAAATATTTGGTTAAACACAGGGTTTTTTTTTAATCACAAACATTGAAATATGCTTCCTTTCCTGATGATGATTTCTGTCTCAGGACATGTCCGAGCCCAGCACGGAGGCCCCAGGTCTCAGTGAAGCCTGCCTGGCTGGACTAGAACAGTATTTATTTGCAACTTTAAACTTCTTACTTTAAATTAGATCACAGAAAATTTAACATAGAAATGTTTTCAGTGTATTGTGTATGATTTTTTAAACTATGAGCAGTAGGTGAAAGCATGTTTTTGATAGATTTGGAGTTCCGGAAAGTAGTCAGGCATTGCTGCATAGAAGGGAACTGCTGCTGCATCTCTGAAGCAGCATTTCTGTCCTAAGGCAGAACCAGTGTGAGCTGCTTGTGGCATCACCAGAACCATCGAGGCGTTGGGTTGGGCACTCCCTGTCTGTCCCACAATCACACCACTTCTCCCTTGGAGCAGATTCTGCGTGTCTTCTTCCCTCTACCAGGATTTCAGGTTCCATTTCACAATGAACTAAACAAAGGTTTCAGTCCACTCTTGCTTTTTGGGAGGGGAAGAATATCTAGCAGTACTTCCCGGGTGCCACTGAGCGCTGAGGGTTTCTCAGCACTGACTTAAGCACTCACTTGGCTGCTTTACTGACCAACCTCAGAGCCCTGGGGCACCCTTGCCAGAGATGTTCAGAAAGAAAGGGCTCCCCTTGCTGGAAGCATGGGGTTTGAGGGCAGCATTCAGCAACACCACACATTTTGGTCAATGATGAAGTTTTTGTTTTAGGATGAAATATATGATGTTCAATATTAATTACCGTTAATAATTATGTTCAACCAATAAAATCAACCAAAAGCGAATGTTTTCATCAGAAAAAATGAAATTGAATTTTCCAAAACAAACTAAGTCAGGAATGAGTCTGGACTACTGCGCCCTGAGGCTTTGCCAGTTGTGAATTAGAAGTGTAGGCCCCTGGAGGAAAGGTGAAGGGTGGAGTGAGACTCAGCCGAGGAAGGCTGTCATCTCCGACGTTCTGCTTCCCTTCATAGACTTTGTCTGAACCTCCCCTCTGCCCACCCCCAAGTTTGCTTGTTCCCTGGCTTTGAGTTTGGGCTTTAAAAAGGAGAGGGGCATTTAGAGGGACTTACTCTATTGTTACTTCCAGTTTCATGTGTCCACAGTTTTTCCCTAGGGCAGGGAAAAGGAGAGAAAAACATTGAGAATGGAAAGTTTTAAGAATAGTGCCCCTAGGCAGGAGAGTAGAATCATAAATCCTGGTACCACTGATACCTTTTACTCCCATCCACTTCACATGTTAAAAAACCTCTAAGTATGTTGAGTTTCTGGTCTCCTTGCTACATTGAAGACCTTGGCTCTGGCACTCACCAGCTTGGCCAGGTTATTTTGTATCTCAGTTTTTCATCTTTAAAAGGAGAATAATTATAAGATATATACTTCATAGGAGTTTAAAAAAAGATTGAATGAGACAATACATGTGATACATTTAGAAAATGCCTGGTACATGGGAACTCCTCAATAAATTATAGCTATAATAATAGTTATTATTATTAATTTTGAAAGTAAGAAGATGATATATTTAAACAATAGGTTTTTGTTCTACCATATATGTCAGGTGTGCCTGACTCTAGAAGAAGCTACCTTGAAATGGCCACATGGTCTATCAGAAAAACCTATTACCAATAACATGTTAAGGCTTTCAGTTAAAAAAACATGTGTTGTTATTGTCAGGTGGCCAGAAACAGCGGATTGCAATTGCCCGTGCTCTGCTTAGGGTAAGTCTGAAGCCACTTGGCTGGATTTTTTTGTCATTGTTTGAATTAGAGACCTTATAATAGGTAATTCACTATTTTCCTCCTTCCCCTCCCCCCACCTTTTTTTGAAGAGAAAAGGTAGGGATGGTTGGTAGTTCTGGCTGAAGATGGGATTTGAACCCTTGTCCTTCAGACTCTTCACTCCTTGCTCTTTAACAACTATGCTGAGGATAAAGTCCCTCCCAGTTCTGGGGGAAGATGAGTAGCACATAGTGCATGTTGTCCCAGTTTAACAAGAACTAACTACGTATCAGGAGCCCAGTAATGTGCTGGGGTTGACAGGGGAGAAAAGTTTAACACATGGACCTTCCATAGCATAGTTTCTCCATAACTGGTCAAGTATTGATTAAATCAAAGTATCAGGGCCTCCCCTGGTGGCGCAGTAGTTGAGCACTGGACTGTGAGGCTGCCCGCAGCCTCTGCAGCACTGGTTCGATCCCTGGCCACCGGCAAGGGTCCCACATGGCATGACAGACCTCTCCTGCCAAGCCCGCTGCTCCCCTCAGCACTGTGTTTCGTCATTCTGCCTGCTCTGTTCCCCGCTCTGGCTTTGGTGAATTCTCTCACCCTCCCGCACTTCTGACTGTACCCAGTGCTTGTATAAATAAATAAATAAATCTTTAAAAATAAATAAATAAATAAATAAAAGTATCAAAACAGTACAGCTATGCTTATTTATATAATCTGAAATCAACTAATAAACCCAATAGTACAGACTTGAAATACTTACCCAAAATTCCTGGGAGGAGAGGGAAAAGCCATTTTAGCTGAATGCTATAGTCATTGTGATTTTTAGGAAATCATAGCTTTCCCTTTTGTTATAAAACAACTCTTCAGATTTGTAAGTGATTTTGGAAAAAAAAAGCTTTATTGAAGCATCATTTCCATATAAATTTAGAGTTGTGTAACCATCATATAAACCAAGTTTTGAACATTCCTGGCACACCATATTAAGATCCCTTGTATCCATTTGCAGTCTTTCCCCATTCCTACCTCTAACTTCACATGACCACTCATTTACTTTCTGTCTATCTAGAGTTGCCTTTCTGGGCATTTCAGATGTATGAAATTAGACAAGATACGGTCTTATGCTTTCAGCCTCTCTAATGCTTTTCTGCTTTCTTCATGTTGTAACTTACATCACTGTTTCATTCCTTTCTGTTGCTGAATGGTACTTCTTTGTATGAGTAGACTACAATTTGTTGATCCACTCACTGGTTGATGAGCATTTGGGTTTTTTCTAGTTTGAGACTATTGTGAATATTATTGCTATGAATAGTGTAAAAATTTTGGTGTGGACATATGTTTTCATTTTTTGTGGATCAATTTCTAGGCAAAGCTAAAATTTAATGCATTGTATCTATATATATGAGCTTACTCTTATTTTTGCTCTGTTTATGATATTCCTGACCAAGCTAACTATAAGCAGGACTTTGAGTGTAGACCAGTGTGTAGTGATGATGATTTAAAATCATCTCTAACTCTTATTTTACATGCTTATCAGGCACTTAATAGTTTTTTATTTTTTGTAGCAGCTTTATTGTTATAGGACCACATACTATACAACTTGTCCACTTAAAGTATATAATTCAAGGGTTTTAGTGTATTCAGAGTTGTGCATCCATTCACCATAATTAAAAATCTTTTCATCACCCCAAAAAGAGACTGTATTTTCTTTATCAGTCATGTACACACACCTCACCATTGACTGCAGCCCTAGCTGACCCTAGTTTGCTTTCTGTCTCTATAGACATGCATGTTCTGGACATTCATGTAAACAAAGTCATACAACATGTGACATTTTGTGTCTTAACAGTATCAGCACTTCATTTCTTTTTGAGAGTTTGTATTTTTCTAACAAAAGTACGTTTTCTTTTTAATGTTTTTCCTCCTTCAGAATCCCAAAATTCTTCTCCTAGATGAAGCAACCAGGTGAGGATATCTTAATACTATGTGTAATTGTATTAAGCCAATTTCTTCCTTAATAAGAATTTGTTATTTTGTACTTCAGTGATACAGCCGAAGAGGCCTTCCCCACTTATACTTTAAAGTGACCAAGTTTGGATTGATAATGACAGTTGGGAGGCAGTGGCCAGGCTGAGTCATGAGTTTAGGATTCTAGTTCCAATTCAGATACATTTGGGATGAATCCCTAATTTTTCTCATCAGTAACTATGCAGAATGCTTGTCTGCTTATGTTGCAGTGGTTCAGTGGAAATCAGAGGTCCCAAGATTCCTTTTTACAGTAACATTATAATATAGAATATAGAGAGAGACTGAAGAAGTTGCAATTTCGATCATAGTAAATATTCACTGACAATGATAGGCTACTGTATATGAAACAGAAAATACAGTATACATGACACTGACATCTTTGCTTTCTCAATGGGTTTTCCTGTTTAAGTGCATTGGATGCTGAAAATGAGTACCTTGTACAAGAAGCTCTAGATCGACTAATGGAAGGAAGAACAGTGTTAATTATTGCTCATCGCCTTTCCACCATCAAGAATGCGAATGTGGTAGCTGTTCTTGACCAAGGAAAAATTACTGAATATGGGAAGCATGAAGAACTGCTTTCAAAACCAGATGGGACATACAGAAAATTAATGGGCAAACAAAGTTTTATTTTAGCATAAAGGAGCAATTGCTGGTAAATTGAATGAGACCTTAATGCAAAACAGCATTACAGAAAGAAAAAGATTATATGAAATCCGTAAATCATACTTCAAGTTGTTTGAAATATGCCTATTTTATCCCAAGTGTGTAAAATAATTGTTTTGAGATACTTTCCTCAAGACCTTTTTATTCAGCATTTTAATAATCATGACTTTTTAAATGTCTATACCACTGAAGTTATTTTCAGGTTTTGTACTTTCTTTTTATCTTGGAATATTTTAAGTAATGTAGGATAGCACATCACTTTCTTTTTCCTGCTGTTAAAGATTGAAGGTATTGTCAAATGACAACTTTTAAAAGGGAATTATAAATAAAATGCCTAATTGTTTTAGGCCAGTTTACCAATCTCTGTGTAACTCTCTTGGTGTATTCTACCTACTATAGGTCTAATTTTACTACGTATGTAATAGAAGACACAAATCTAACTATTTTATCCTGATAACCTTATGAAACATACATAGGAGTAGTTAATGTCACAAGGTGAGAAGAGACATTTTATATTCCCTGTCTCCTGTGTCTTCAGAGGTGTGAGAGTTTAGGTATGTTTCTCTGGGATGAGACTGTGTTTGTATGTATGTGGTTTTCAACATTTTGGGCATTTGTGAGTCCAATGAATTTAAAAAAGGAAAGAGTGCCTTTGAATAGAAAAGTTCTATTTTCATCATTTACTTATGTGTTTCTATTAGTATATTGGGAAGGGAAGTGTGAACTGCCATTTGCTATCAAGAAAAATGTGAAACTATATTTAACACATATGTTGTCTGAAGGCATATATTTTGAAAATTTATACATCATAAAATGTATAATTTCCAGTCAAATTTTACAACTTTTTATCAGATATTTAAATACTTTTGGAATTTCATTCAGTGAGGTTAAAATATGAATAAATAACTAATTTTCAACCTTAAACATTTGAAGAAAGTTTAAAAGTTATTGCTAGTCTACAAAATATCAACAAATCTTAAGAACTCTTTATTTTTCTGAAGTAGAATGGTTACTAAGGTTATAGTTTTATTCCTTTTCACCTAGATGTCTCAAAATTCCTAAAGGAGTGCTGATAACCATTGGATTTGTCATATTTCATATCAGTGCTGTTAATTTGCTGTTGCCTCAAGATAAGGTGCTTTTTATAAACAGTAATGATGCCAGAACTTCAGTAATAACCATATTGATGTGATTAAAACTTGATGTTTTTTCTCATGTACTACATATTCATTAATTCCCTGATTATGCTGGAAGAAGAAACCACTATTTTATGATAAACATGGAGTATTATATTTCATTCTATATAAGGGAATTTATTAATGAATAAAGTTCAGTGAAAGAATGAACTGAGTGTTCTTTGAATTAGTAAACACTGTATCTGTGACAATCATTTTAACACAAGTTTCATTTGTATTCTTTATACAGTTTGCTATTATGGTGTGAGTCTCAGAAAGGAAACAAAAGACAATTATAGGGTTGGATCTGAGGGAAATGTCTATGTGCCATAGAAATATTTACAAACATTGAATTTGATCATTATATTTTATTTTCTAATAAAGATGTTCAGTTTTGTCTTTTGGTAACATTTTATATCGTGGATTAAAATTTATAGTGGGGCCTCCCCGGTGGCGCAGCAGGTGAGTGCTGGGTTGTGAAGCTGCCCACGGCCTGTGCGGCGCCGGTTCGATCCCCGGCTGCTCCCTGGCCACCGGAGGAGGGTCCCACATGGCGCGCAGACCTCTCCTGCCGCCCGCTGCTCCCCTCAGCAGTGTACTTCGGTCCTTCTGCCTGCTCTGCTCCCTGCTTTAGCTCTGGTGAATTCTCTCACCCTCCCGCACTTCTGACTGTACCCAGTGCATGTATAAACAAACAAACAAATAAATAAAATATGCCTCTATTAAAAAAAAAAAAAAGAAAATTGAAGCCCCAGCAGGGGCCTCTGCTTTAAAATTTATAGTGAACTTTGTGTCTGTCACTTGTAAAATTTTTACTGCATTCAGTTTCTTACCAATTTTGGCTGTGGAGATTCAACAGCAATGAAAAAGCCATATTATATCTGTTTTGTTTATACTTATAAACCATAACACTTAATCACATAGGTAATCAGTAAATCTATAATGAATGAATGATGATACTTCTTCAGTTCTCATACATCTGGTTCCTGAGGAGTTCTTGCTCAAAAGTGCAGGCAAGTGGTTCTGTTAGGGGGAAAAAGGATACAGTTCCAGCTCCTGCAAACAGCAACTTTTTTTTTTGGCTTTTATTTTTTTTTAAATAATAAATTTTATTTTTATATTCCCCATACAATTGCAACCCCCCATTTTGACCCCAATCCCTCCCCTTCCGCCCCCCACCCCCAAAAAAGTGTCTCGGGTTCATAGTTTTTTGTTGATTTTGATTTTCACTTTCTTATAGTTATTCATTTTCCTGGTCCCTTATTTAAGTTTTCTAGATTCCTGCTATGAGTGAGACCATCCAGTATTTTTCTTTTTCTTTCTGGCTTATTTCGCTGAGCATGATCCCTTCCAGCGCCATCCATGTTGCTGCAAATGGCATGTGTTTATCTTTTTTGAATGCTGAGTAATATTCCATGGTGTATATGTACCACATCTTCTTGATCCAGTCATCTATTTTTGGGCAATTGGGCTGTTTCCAAATTAGCTATTGTAAACAGTGCTGCTATAAACATAGGGGTGCAGGTGTTCTTTGGAATTGATGTTTCTGTGTCCTTTGGGTAAATACCTAGGAGTGGAATTGCTGGATCATATGGAAGCTCTATGTTTAGTAGGTCCAGAAATCTCTACACAGCTCTCCATAGTGGTTGGACCAATTTGCACTCCCACCAGCAGTGCAGGAGAGTTCCTTTTTCTCCACACCCTCGCCAACATTTGTTGTTGCTAGTTTTTTTAATATGTGCCATTCTCACTGGTGTTAGATGGTATCTCATGGTAGTTTTGATTTGCATTTCCCTGATTACAAGTGATATTGAACATTTTTTCATATGCCTGTTGGCCATTTGCATTTCCTCTTCAGAGAAGTTTCTTTTTAGCTCTTCTGCCCATTTTTTGACTGGATTATTTTCTTTGTTGTTGTTGAGTCTCATCAGCTTAGTAGATTTTTGTGATCAGTCCTTTATCATTAGTGTTGTGTGCAAAAATGTTCTCCCAGTTGGTGGGGTTTCTCTTTGTTTTTGTTATAGTCTCTTTTGCTGTGCAGAAGCTCTTTAATTTGATGTAGTCCCAGCTGCAAACAGCAACTTTTAATAGACAAACCACGAAGTAGTCCAGTAAAGCCCAACAACAAATTCATCCCACAAATTCTCTCTCCGATAGGATTATTCTCCAAGTAAGAATGAAACGAGGAAAAATACTGGGCTTTTAGAACTATAAAATTCAAAATCAAGCTGCCAAGTTGAGTTAGAAATCTAGGTGAGAGAAGGAGCAAAGCAACTTGCCTGTATAACCTTGGGGAGATGACTACCCCATGCTACTAATGTGCCAAAGGAATGGCTTTCCCTGGGGGGATGTCAACAACTAAAACCATATGGCAATGGCCCATGTATGGATATGCTAGTATTAACTATTCCCTTATTTCAATAAATATTTAAAGTCTATTGTGTACTATTATGGTATACACAAGGGTAACAGTCATTGTCCTTGCTAGACATGTAATGGGAGGAGCTACATGAGACATCTGTAAACAACTGTTATGACAGGCAAAAATATAAACAACCCACATAAAGGAGGGGGGTGGGCGACAAAGGATGGAGCATACTTAACTGCTGTGGAAGGCTTCATTTCTGAGAAGGCCCAAAGCAGTAAGACTTGATGTATGAAGTGGGTGCTTGTTGTCCAACTAGGAAGAGAGGGCATTCCAGGCAAAGTCATTGGAGGGGGATATGGGATTTTTATTCTTAGACTGCAAGTGGGCAGTGCAAGGGCAGTGATGGAAGTTAAGTAGGGACAGAAAAGCCAACCAGAATTAAATTACAAAGACCTTGCAAAGGAGCTTGGTATATAACCTATGGACAGTGGCCAGCCACTGAAGCATTTACTTCGGGTTCGCTTTAGTTCATTACTTTGGCAGTGTGTGAGGCTAAGTGGAGTAGAACTACAGAGAGCAAGAGAGACCAAAAAAAAAAAAAAAGGCTAAAAGCGGAACTCCATGTGGCGCAGGGGTTAAAGACACAGCGCTATCAAACTGTTGCTAGCCAGGGAGCTACCCACATGTGCAGCAGACCTCTCCTGTCTCCCCGCTGTTCCCCTCAGCAGTGTATTTCAGTAGATTCACCTGTTCTCCCCACTCTGTCTCTGGTGAAGCCTCTCACCCCTTTGCACCCCAGTTCTTGTATGCATAAATAAAATCTTTTTTTTTTTTTAAAAAAAGGGCTAAAAGAGAAAAAAATTAGGGGAAAGTGAATACCCGAGCCAGGACAGAAGCGGAGCAGATATGAGATCTAGAGATACTCAGGGGCTGCAATGTTTACAGGTTTTTCTCCCTTCTCTTCAGGTTGAATAAGGGAACAAACACTTAATTTCCCAAGACGTTCAGAGAAAGAACTGTGCAGAGAGGCTTTGCACTCCACTGCTGAGGGCCAGTCCCACCCATGGGAGTAGGGGCGGGCGCCCGCCTCTGCAGTTTCACTTGCCGGAAGCAGGAACCGCAGCCCCTCGCGCCGAAGCCGCGCGTCAAGCCCCAAGCCCTCTCTGTCTCTCCCAGCCCCGCCTCTTAGGGCCACGCCCAGAAGGGGGAGACGCCGAGCTGACGTCATCACAGCGCGCTTCTTTCTCCCGACCACGCCCCGAGGCGGTGCAAGGCATGATTTCATCACCGTGCGCCTTCCGCCTGTGGAGTGTTCAAGCTCCGAGCGCCGGCAGACCTAGGTCGGGAAACCGAGAGCTCGCTGGTACCGTTTCCTGCCCTAATGTTTCCTAGCGTCTCCTCTCCGCGAACCCCGGGGCCTGGGGCCCGAAGGGGCCCGCTGGGCGCAGTTGGGCCAGGCTCCACGCCCCGGGCCGCAAGCAGGAAAGGTCTATCCCTGGGGTCAGCAATCAACTCCCCGGTGCTCTTCTCGCCGGTCGGGCGGCGGAGCTCGCTGAGCTCGCGGTAAGTGACGGACCGGGTTGGGTCTAATGGGGTGGTGTCTTCAGAAGCCTCCGAAACTGGGCGTGGTAAGAGGGAAGATGCCAGTGTTGGGAGAATAATTCGCCACCCTTGAGAATTCTTTCAACCTCACTTTGATCAATTCATCGAATCTTAGCTTTGCACTTTACATGGAATTACCTCTTGGGTAAAGGTGAGGAACAAACTGATTTGAATCAGTGATTACCTGCTTCCTTCATACTACTCCTGTGATGTAGTATACGTCATCCATGATTCTCTTATCATGTGAAATGACTGTAATAATATCAGACTTAACCAACTCCGTTAGACCAAAGAATCAATATGAAATCACGATTCAGACGTGGAATGTGGGGACGAGGTCCTCCAAACCCGGAAAATAAACATGATATCTTAACACACAAGTCGCCAATAATGCCTGCTGATTGGTAATTAAAGGGCTTCTGGGCTTTGTACCTGAATTAGTAGGGAAAAGGCTTTCCATAAGTAGTGAGGTAAGAGTAGTTTTGTTAGCAAATAAAAATGTGTGCCAGCCGACATCACTGGGAAAAATCAAATTTTGCACTCCCCCTTTAATAAAGAGCTAGAACTTCAGAAGGTAGCATGTTTCTGAGTAGTTTCCTCTGAATTTATCTATCAGAAATGAATTTCCCCCTGCAGGAAAACAGTAATATTGGATCTTGAACTTATAGTTAAACTGTCTATGGAATTTTGCAATACTTTAAAGGAGAACTGATTTTTAAAGAATTCACAGTGTTATTGACTACTGTATTTTGAAAGTGCTCTTCAAAGTGCTAATAATTGTCAAGTGTTTTCTATTCCTTTTGAGAATAAAAGCACAATAAAAAGTCAGAATAAGAATCATACTTTTATGTGTTTTTTAAAGTCTCTGCTTTTTTGGTGACATTAAAAGAAAAATCTTTGTTATACTTTGTTAGGGATCAGAGCTCTCTACCACTCAGTATTTGCATCTCCTTATTTAATACTCCTGATGAGAAATAAATAACCTTTATGCTAGTTTTTACGATTTTTTCCTTGAATGTTAACAATGTTAATTTCTAAGGCATCTGCTTTTCAAGGTCAGGTAACAACGGATATTCATGACTTTAATTCTTGCTACATTGTACAGATCTGGTTGATTTGTGTAATTGTGGAGCTGATGAGAGCTGATGAGAGCTTGAAAATAATCTAACTGAATATTTTAAAGCTTTTTTAACTACAGTGTCTGATAAGTTCTCTCTATATATTTTAAATGTAGATGAGACCCTCAGAATGATCCACAATTTAAAAAATGGATCCAGCCCAACCTTATTGTTTCATAGCTAAGAGAGCAGGGTTATAAAGAGTTTTAAGCAATAAAATGTATATCTAATTACAAGAGTGTAAGAATTTGAAATTGTTTTTCTCAATCCTGTCTTTTTTTTATGAAAGATACATTTAACACTATTTGCATCAATGTTTTTTTCACTGTTTATCCTCATCTTGTTTATTAAAGATCTTTTTATTGTGAAATTATATGCATAAAAATTAGGATAATGAAAAAATTTTAAGTTATCGGTGAAATAATCTGGTTTCTTTCTGTAGAGGAACACCTACACGAATATTTCCATATCATTCCATAACTGATTCTACAAACTATGATGTAAAATCATTTGGATCATCTCTTCCTGTTAAAATCATGGAAGCGCTAACATTGTCTGAAGGTGGGTGTCGTTAACTATTTGACTTTATTAGCAGTTCAAAATGAAGTCTAGATCTAGCATGGAGATTGACGTTTATACTTTCTTTACCTTCACCTAAATGTGGAAAAACAGAAAAACTGTTTCTTCACTGTAATTGAGAACATGATTTCTCCTTGAAATGTTTATATTTAATAAGAGGATTTATTTGTGTTGCTTTATCAAGGTAGAATTATGAATGTTGCTAAATACTATAGAAAGTAAGATTGGGAGACATGGAGAGCCACATGCAAAAAAATAAAGCAAGACCCATATTTAACAATACATGAAAATTCACTCAAAGTGGGTTAAAGGCTTGGACACAAGAACCGAAGCCATAAAGTACTTGAAAGAAAATATAGGGGACACACTACGGGACATCTACCACAAAGATAAATATGGGAACCAACCCCAGCAGCAAGGGAAACCAAAGCAAAAATAAATAAGTGGGACCATATTAAACTTAAGCGCTTTTGTACATCAAAAGAAACCATCACAAAAACAAAAAGGCAACCTACAGAGTGGGAAAGTATATTTCCATACCATACATTTGATAAGGGGTTAATCTCCAAGATTTACAAAGAAAATCCATCAACAGGGGCCTCCCAGGTGGCACAAGGGGTTAAGCACAACACTTCAAAGCTATCTGCAGCCTCTGCAGCACGAGTTCAATCCCTGACTGGCTAGGGAGCTATCCACATGGCGCAGCAGACCTCTCCTGTCTTGCCTGCTGCTCCCCTCAGCAGTATATTTCAGTCAGTCTTCCTGTTCTGTTCCCCACTGTCTCTGGTTAATCCTCTCACTCCTCTGCACCTCTGGCCTGTGCCTCAATTTTTGTATACATAAATAAATCTTTAAAAAAAAATGCATCAACAAAGAAACAAATGACCCAATTAAAAAATGGGCAAAGGTGGGCCTCCCTAGTGGTGCAAGGGGTTAAGACGCAACCTATGAAGCTTCTACAGCCTCTGCAGCACTAATTTGATCCCTGGCCAGGGAGCTACCCACATGGCGCAGCAGACCTCTCCTGACTCTCCCTCTGCTCCCCTCAGCAGTATATTTCAGTCAGTCTGCCTGTTCTGTCTCTGGTGAATCCTCTCACCCCCCACACCTCTGGCCTGTGCCCCAGTTCTTGTATGCATAAATAAAGAAATCTTTTTTAAAAAATGGACAAAGGACCTCAGTAGACACTTCTCTAAAGACATTCAGATGGCCTATACGCATATGTTCAACATCACTTATAAGACAAATGCAGATAAAAACCACACTGAGATACCACCTCACCCCTGTGTGAATGGCCCATATAAAAAAAGAATGGAATTAATAAATATTTGCAAGGTTGCAGTGAAAAAGGAACTCTCATCCACTGTTGGTGGGAATGCAAGCTGGTACTGCCCTCTGTGGAAAATGGTATGGAGATGTCTCAAGACAAAACAAATGGAAATCCTATAGGATCAAGCAATACTGCTTTTAAGTGTTTGTCCAAATAACATGAAAAATTTAACATGAAATGATCTATATACACCTGTGTACATAGCAGGATTACCAAATCTTGGAATCAACCCAAGTGCCCTTCAACAGATGAATGGATAGAGAAACTGCAGAGTATGTATTCATTGGAATATTAAAAGTTGTGAAGAAAGATGAAGTGTTGGTATTTGGCACAAAATGATAGACCTTGAAGGTGATTATGTTGAGTGAAATCAATCAAAAAGTGTAAGATAGATTTTTGGATGGCTTTACTTATCTGTGGAATATAAATAACCCAAAAAACAATTACCTGCAAACAATAGAAGAAATAAAAATTTGAACTCAGCTAAGAAGAAGATAATGGTTACCAGAGGGAATGCAGGGAAGGGTGGAGGAAATGAAGGAAGGAGGCAGATGGGACATGGGGGATTTGGTGGAGGATATAGGAAAAAAAAAATGTTTTACAACAAAATTAAGAAAACATAGGCCTAAAAGTATTCTTCCCTTTAGTATATTTCTAAACGTGGTTATACAAGTTAAATGTCTCTCTAGTTTCGCATCACTAACTCCTGAATTATTTAAAAGGTTTTTTGGTTGTGAATATTTTTTCTGTATGGTAAGTTTTTTTGGTAAAGAATGTGGCAGTACGCTCCTGTGTTTGAGTAAGCTGTACCTTCCTCCTTCAACAATGTTTATCACTATGCTTATGAATAAATGGACAATTTCATGTAAAAAGAGGAAGTAGTAGAACAGGTGGGAAGAAAAATGGAAAAGATATTTAATGTAGAGCTATCTGTTCTGTGGGGTGGTAGTTGTTAAGAATAAAAAAAAGAATGGCAATAAAGAAGATTTTGGTATAAGGAAATTTTAATAGTTTTTCTTATTCATACTTTAAGATTAATTATATACCTCATTGTTTTCTTTAGTTGATGATCAACTGACTGTGCACATAGATGAGGGTGGATGGGCTTGTCTGGTCTGCAAAGAAAAACTCATCATTTGGAAGATTGCTCTGTCACCCATTACTAAGGTAATGACTAATGAGCTAGAAGAAAATTAAGAAGAGTGTTATCACTTGGGCCTTAATTTTAACCCTAAATTTTCAGCGTTGTTGGAGGAGAGTAATCTGAATGTACGTAAGCATTATGGATTTGCATTTTTATTGATATACTGAGCATACATACATATACAATTGTATATTTGGGAAAAAGTTTCACCCCTTTAATAATTTTAAACAAGAGACTTGTTATTTACAGTCAATAAAATTAGAGCTTTGGAAATTTTTAAAGAATGTCTTGCTAAGCCACATAAGATAATGAATGAAGTTTGTTTATTTCTAAGATGTGTTTCATTGAGTCTACTGAATGATGTTTACTAGAATAAGAAAAAATGATATCAATTTTTACCATTGCTAATGTAACTTGCAGTTGTCAGTTTCTCTCACAGGGGTTTTCTGTCTGTTTCCTATCAGGCATACTCTCCTTCACACTCATTCATTACTGACTGGGCCAGTGTTCCATTGGAACTCAGGATGCCTGCTTATCTAAACTCTCCATGTCTGCAGTCTTCTGTACAGCTGCTGCCTCGAAATAAGACTTACTGAGGAGCATGAGTGCAAGAAGAGGAGTTCTGAGGGCATGATGAGTTAGCAAAGGAGCCAGATATTCAGTCAAGTCTAAAATATTTTCTAAACAATTTGGTATAATTATTCTGTAGTCATGCTGACTTTAAATGTTAAATCAGCACTAGACTCAAAAAAATCCCATGGGAAGTTGTGTACTTCTCTTAACAAATAGACTGTAGTCCAGGAAGAGATTAGACTAGTTGATATTCAGGGTCCAATCTAGTGCTTATAAATTTTCCTGATCCCACATCTCTTAAGCTAGTTTGTTTTCACATTGCTGGGAGGCAATTTTATCAAGAAGAAAGAATATTTGTAGAATGATATTTCTAGTGATGAATCAGAATCTAAAATATGCAGAGAAAGGAAATACTGAAGCTAGTTGCATATTCCGAAAATTGGACTTGACATGGCATATTTTTATTTGGGTTTGTTCTGTAGTTATCTGTTTGTAAAGAACTTCAGCTGCCACCTAGTGATTTCCACTGCAGTGCTGACTTGGTGGCTCTCTCTTATTCTGCTGCTGCAGGTGAAGCACATTCTACACAGGTAAGTCACTTAAGTAATTATTGAAATATGTTTCTTAAATAAGAGAGTCTACACTTGGAGGAATTATCTAACCCAGTGCTGAGACATAACTATAAAACTACTGGAATCGGGCCTCCCCTGGTGGTGCAGTGGTTGAGCTCTGGGCTGCGAAGCTGCCCTCAGACTCTGCAGTGCCGGTTCGATCCCCGGCCGCCAGGAGGGTCCCACATGGCAGGACAGATCTCTCCTGCTGCGCCCACTGCTCCCCTCAGCAGTGTATTTCGTCACTCTGCCTGTTCTGTTTCCCACTCTGGCTCTGGTGAATCCTCTGTACATCTGGCCTGTACCCCAGTTCTTGTTTAAAATGAATAAATAAATCTTTAAAAAAAAATTCATAGAATGGCAACAAAAGAAAAATCAATTTTACTGTATTTATGTCCTAGTTTCTTTATATCAGTGTATTAGAATTCCAGTTTCTGGGTCCTTTTACTATCATTTCTGAGTGATATGCTCTTGTTTCAAGGGTGTTGCTGTTATGGTTGCCACCAGAGAAGGATCCATCCGCTATTGGCCAAGCCTTGCTGGTGAAGAGAACTACACACAAACTTTTGTAGACTTGGGAGGTGATAAGACTTACAGTTTCCTAACAGCAGTGCAGGTATAGGATGAATATTCTTTTATATTTATTGGACAACTGTGATTTGGCTTGGAGGTGAAATTTGAAAAGGGTGGGGGTTTGAACAGAATGCATCGCCTGGGAGGGTCAAGAAGAGACAAGGAGGATTTAGGGGCTAAGATTTTGAACAGTAACACAAAGGAAAACCCTTCTTATAGGATTCTGAAATACCAGTCGTAGAAACATTTTACAAGTGATTTAGAAACTCTGAGGCACTATGAAAAAAAGTCTGCTGAAATTTATTCTGCGGAAATAAAATCTGATACTTGATTTGTTGAACTTGTAGTATGGTGAACCTATAATTTAAAAACTACAATTTAAAAAAATGCAACTAAAAAATTGGAGCAAATTTTTCTATGTAGAATTAGTAAGTGAATGGACTGTAAAGATTAAGTGACTGGATAAATAAACTTCTAATAAAATAACACTTTTTAATTTGTTTACATTTATTTTAAGGTATAGTGGTATTTCTCTGTATCTGAATATTTTGTGTTAATTTTATCTTTGTGTTTGATGCACAACCGGACTAATTTTATAATATTTGTTCACAGGGGGGAAGTTTTATTTTGTCCTCATCAGGAAGCCAACTGATTCGACTGACTCCCGAAAACTTAGGAAAGATTCATCAGCATATCCTGCCTCAAGGGCAAGGCATGCTTTCAGGAATTGGTCGGAGGGTTTCTTCTCTTTTGGGAATTTTATCTCCTAGTAGTGATCTCATAGTAAGTTGATAAAATAACCTTGATATACAAGATTGTTTCTTACGAAATCAGTAGGTCAGGAATTTCCAATGAAGTTCCTATTGACTCTTCATGAGTAGTGGTGTACATGAAATAAAGCCTTTGATATTTTAGTAAAGCTTTTCTATAAAGATGATCAAATGAGTTCATACTGAACCCCACCCCACACCTTATAATATTAATGTTCTTAAATCACACAGTTTATAAGTACTTTTTTTAATTAAAACTATTACATAAAAGTGTAGATGTTTTAAGGACTAATTTTGCTTTCTAGATACAACCAAAAGTGTGTTCTCCTCTCCCAAAGAGAAGCTATCTCTGTGGATGACTCAAATCTAAATCTGTCTGCTGGGCTTGCAGAAGTAAAGGGAGGAGGATGGGTACTGACATTTGTGGAGCACCACGCTACTTAGTGCTCCATCTTTGTAATTTGTGTAATTATGATTACACGATTTGGAGAGCGTTCTTCAACTTGCAGATGAGGAATTGGCCTCAATGAGGCTAATGAGAAAACTCCCCAAGGTCGCAGAACTACTCAGTGATAGGTTCATGCCAAGGCTTTCTGGTTTGAAAGCTCATCCTTTTTTACTGTGCTTGTTCCTGTTTATTTCAGGTTGCTAGCATCATGTGCTTCATTGAGTGGTTTTTGAACCTAAAAATTAACATGTCCAAAAACAAATTGCTCATATTCCTTTCTCTCCCTTATTGGCTACACACTAATACACAAAACTCATTTCTCTTTTTATCCTACTTCTTTTACTTTCAGTTTTTTCAGTGACCCAGGCATAAGACCTTGATTTTATTTTAAAGTATCTCCTGCTCCTCTAGCAAGTTATTTAGTAGATTTGACTACCATATTTCATTTCCAGCCCCACCCTCTGCTTCCATTGTTTTGTCCTAATCTTCACTCTTTTAAATAAATTTCCCTGAGCAATTGGTGTAAATTTCCCTAAGCAAAAGCCGCACAGTTTACTCACTATTGGCCCCTTCTATCCCATTAGTGGCCAGAGTCATGGTTACAGGAGAAAGAGAGATAATTAGGATTTTCACTCAAAACAATCATGAATGCCCAACTTAAAAAAAGAAATTGCATACATGCACTAACTACATACAGCTAATATTGTGTTTAAAAACCATTGATATCTCCCTTACTGGATTTACAAACTCACATTCAAAACTCTGCTATATGTCCTTTGAGCCTTATTTTTTGCTTCTCTCTGGTTATAATCTATACTACAGTTTAACAGGATTACTTCTTGTTCTCCGAAAACTAACTTTTCCCACCTCCCTATTATGCTCTTCATGAGCCTTCTGCCTTTCTGCTGCTTCCTGTGGAAATTCTCACTTTTTAGCTCAGAATCACTCCTTCTTGTGAATACTAAAAATTTCACTCAAATAGACATAAAATATATAAAATTTAAATTAAAAAAAGTTCACTAACAAAACTTAATCTATAAACTTGACTTTTTCTCCTCATTGAATAGCTTTCAAGTGTCCTTTGGGATAGAGAGAGATCAAGCTTTTACAGCCTGACAAATTCAAACATCAATAAATGGGAATTAGATGATTCTTCAGAAAAACAAGCACATAGTTGGGATATAAACCGAGCCCTGAAGGAAAATATCACTGATGCTATTTGGGTAAGGAGAATAATGTTTGTGTCTGTAATTCATGTTTATGGTTATATGATGTTTCTGTAGCTTCATTAGAACATAATTCAGTATAATATGTTTTTAGCAATCAGATAAGTAAAAATGTAATATTTAATCTCTAGAAATATTGGGGGCCTCCCCGGTGGCGCAGTGGTTGAGTGCTGGGTTGCGAAGCTGCCCGCGGTGTCCGCGGCGCCGGTTCGATCCCCGGCTGCTCCCCGGCCACCACCGGAGGAGGGTCCCACATGGCGCACAGACCTCTCCTGCCGCCCGCTGCTCCCCTCAGCAGTGTACTTCGGTCCTTCTGCCTGCTCTGCTCCCCGCTCTGGCTCTGGTGAATTCTCTCACCCTCCCGTGCTTCTGACTGTACCCAGTGCATGTATAAACAAAACAAACAAACAAACAAACAAATAAATTAAAAAAAAAAAAAATACCTCTATAAAAAAAAAATAAATAAAATAGAAATAATGGAACTCAATGATTTACTGAATTTTTAACATGTACAATAACTGAGGTACTTTAGTAGGTGCTAGGGATATGAGGGTGAAATGATTCCTATACTCAAGGAGCTTATGTTGCTATTTTAATATAGGGCTCTGAAAGTAACTATGACACTATCAAAGAAGGGGTCAACATTCGCTATTTGGACTTGAAGCAAAACTGGTAAGCAGTTGATTTATCATAAAGAATGTTGGTAGTAATTTGGAAAAATAAATTGATGTCTCTTAAAATCATGAGCCAGTCTTTCTGTTCTGGTGCCTTAAGTGCTAATCTTATACTGACTATCATGCCCTGTTAATTGGCTTTATGTTCCTTGTCTGGTGATACTAGTTCATTTGAGTAGTATGGACAGTTCTCAACCTTCAGCTGTATTTACATGGGTTGTCTGCCCTGGCTAGAAATGCATCTTTTCCACTTTCACAGCTGGAGCTTCTCTTCACTGCTCAGGTAACTTCCCCACTGTCCTCTTTCTCTTAGTAGAGGTACTGGGCACACTTTTCCAGTCTTTCTGTTGCTGAAGGAGCATTAGCTTACAATTGAGCCTGAATGGCATAAAGGAAGGATAGGGTGAGGTTTTGTCTTGGCAGTATAAGTTAGACCTCACAGTGAATTTCCTCAGTGTTCCAAGAGGTGCTGAGGTTCCTAGGTTAGTCTGGTAAGGTTAATGTATCCCTTGTCACCATTTAGCAGTAACACCAAAAGTCATATAGAATGTAACCATTTGTAACAAGATTTCTGTAAGAAAGTTCAAAGGAGTAAGACTTGCATTACATCAAAACACAATTTGCCAGAAGTTAAGGGTGATTTTTATTTTAGAGTAATTTCGTTTAGTGGAACAAATTCTACTTGTTTCTTGGAATGATGTTGCTGTTCTGCTGTATTAATTTTTTTCTCTCAGGCATTGAAACTGTCAGTAGGATCCTTTATTGTTTCAGAAAATTTATGTAAGTTGTCACTAGAGGGTGCATGCCACCCTGTTAATAAAGACAAAAATACTTTTCCTCTGGGCAAAAGTAACTAACTACTCCTTGCAACTACTCTGCTCCATCAGTAGTAGAACAAAACCATCCATAGACATTTCACAATGAAAGCTATAATCCAGTAAAGCTGCACTGACTGAAGCTTGGCAGGAGGACGGCTTTGCCAATCCCTGCACTAGATGATTTATTGATTTTTTTTCTTTATTTTTTAAAAATTACTTTATTATTTTTTTTTTTTGTCAAGGTAACTTTGTTTTGCAGCACTGTAAATGATTTAGGGGTATAGGCTCACACCTCACACCTCTTTAGATTTATATTACTATATCATACCCATCACCATGGTGTGTTTCTACTAATTCAGATTTTTTAGCTATATTTACATATAGTAAAATTTCATCTTACGTGGTGAACTTTTTTTAAAATCGAGTAATGACAGTACAGATTATATAGATTTATCAGGGTTTATTCAGAAGTTGAAGGATATTTGATTGTTTCCAGTTTTAGGCAATAATGAGTAAGGCCACTATAAACATTTGCACAAAGGTTTTTGTGTGAATGTAAATTTTTCTTTCTCTTGGGCAGATATCCAGGAGTGTTGTTGTTAGGTCAAATGTGTGTGCTTAACTTACAAGAAACTGCTGAGCCATTTACCAAAGAGTCTGTAGATGTTACTTTTTCCTTTATTAGTGATGGGCTCCTGATTTTGGCAGCAGCATGGCACCCAGCAGACAGTCCATGTCTCACCTATTATTCTCTGATAACAGTAGAAGATAATGGCCACCAAATGTCAGATGCCGTAACTGTAGAAGTCACTCAGTACAATCCACCTTTTCAGGTAAGATTTCTTTCTTTTTTTTTCAGGTAAAATTTTCTACCTGTAAGTTAAATTACAAAGTGCCCATCACACTGAGATTTTTTTCCCCTAAACACTGAAGAGTCAAATTCTTTAAGAAATAAATCTTCAGGACTTGGAAGTATGTTAAAATTGCTAGTTTGTGAACATCACATTTTACTTGCCATCTCAGACTTGTTCCTTTGCTCAACCTTAGCTAAAGGAATCAGTAGAATCAACTGACAGCAAGCAAGATCTCTAATTTTAAACTTCTTAAAAGCAATTAAACGTATCATTTAGTAACTGATATTCAGGAAGAAAAGCTTGATTAGCTCTAAATTCATTTCATTTAAACTAATGTTTAGTTCTGTTAAGCCCTTATTATTTGATTTTTAATTTATGTTTATTGAGGTAAGGTTGATTTGTAACAGTGTGTATATTTTAGGGGTATGGGTTCACATGTATACGGATGTATGTAATCACAGCACATCTACCACCAAACCCTCAATAATTTCTTGTTCTTAATATAACTTATTTAACTGAATACTATAAGGAAATCTTTGTTTTTTTGCTTCAAACAAAAATAAACCTTATGTGTTCTGATTATGTAGGAAAAACATGCTCAGTGCTAGAAATGATTAGACAATGCAAAAGGATATGAAGTAAACAAATTTTGAGGATTAAAAAAAAATCCCCATAGGACCCCACTTGCAATGTTTCATTTATAAAATTATTTCTTTAATTGCAAATAGTATATTGTTTTTAGCATTTGCTAATTTTATCATTTCATTGGGTCTTATTTCTATTTCTGCTTCTGATATTATTAATATATATGAACAAATTAACTAATTTTTCTTGTGCTTGATAACTTTGCATTCATGTAAGAACCAAAATATTTATTGGGGATCTTTTATAAAGAATTTGCTGACTTTAAAATAAAACGTTAATTCCTTTATTTTCTTTTTCACATTTGTTATAGATGTCTTGTTAAAGTCGTCACCATGGAAGTGTTTCTAAAATTTTGCTAGTTATCTGAACTCAGCAAATGATTTACTTAATGGATGTTTATAAACTGATTCTGTCATTTTTAACACTTTATGAGTTAGTGTTGCGCAAAAATGTGTATTGTAAAATCATGCAAACAAATGCAGTTGTTTTAATTCTCATTAAATGTAATCTTTAATTTTCAGTCTGAAGAATTGATTATGTGTCGGTTGATGGTGCCCAATTTTTCAAACCAGACTGCCTATCTGTATACTGAAAATGCTGTCTATGTGTGCTCCACAGGAACTGGAAAATTTTCTCTTCCTCAGGAGAAAATTGTCTTTAATACACAAGGTACAGTAGCAGTTGTAGAAAGCATGATTTGTGAGCTCACTTGTCATTCATAGAAGTTTTGTTCTCTTTCCATAAATGTTGGTTCACTGTGTTCCTGAGCTCTTCAGTACCACACCTCCAGGAGCTGAGATCACAGCCCTACTGAAAAACCAAAGGGTAGTAGAATTACCAAACTATTATATTTATGGGCAAAAAATAGTATTTTTTTTTCCTCAGAAGAGGCCAAGAAGGAGAGTACTGACTTTAAGAGAATTGCTTATTTCTAGTTAGTAAGAGTGGATGTTCTCTAAATAAGTTTGTGTAGATCCTTGCATAAGAAGCATCCCAGGTGCTGGACTTGTAAGGGGCCTGGAGTGGGGGTGGTAGATATGCTAGCCAGCCAGGAATGAAAACAAGCTAAGCAGATAATCTGGTCTTGATATGTAGATGGAATCTAGATTTTCTACTCCTAGCACAAGAGCCTTGAAGAATTTATTTATTTATTTATTCATTCATTCATTTTGAGATTATTTATTTATTTATACAAGCACTGGGTACAGTCAGAAGCGCGGGAGGGCGAGAGAATTATCAGAGTCAGAGCGGAGAGCAGAGCAGGCAGACTGGCGAAGTACACTGCTGAGGGGAGCAGTGGGTGGCAGGAGAGGTCTGCTTTGCGCCATGTGGACCCTCGCCTGGCGGCCGGGGATCGAACTGTCACTGCAGAGGCTGCGGGCAGCTTCGCAACCCAGCGCTCAACCGCTGCGCCACCAGGGAGGCCCCAGGAAGAATTTATTAAGCAAGCTTAGACTCCCACCCTGACATCCTCCTCCCAACCCCCACTCCAGTCTCATTGGACTACTGAATAAGTAAAGACAACTGGGCAAGAGGATTCCATTGTATTGAAAAAGCTTTTATTCTGATTTCTGCTGAATGAATGATTTTCTCTTTTGGCATCTAGGAAATATTGCTCTGACAAAGCTAGTTTTTTATACTAAAGCTGAAGGACACAGAGCCTGCTATTTGAAATAGCAATAGGTTCTTTTTTTTTTTTTTTAAAGATTGATTGATTGATTGATTGATTGATTTATACAAGCACTGGGTACAGTCAGAAGCACGGGAGGGTGAGAGAATTCACCAGAGCCAGAGCGGGGAGCAGAGCAGGCAGAAGGACCAAAGTACACTGCTGAGGGGAGCAGCGGGCGGCAGGAGAGATCTGCGCGCCATGCGGGACCCTCCTCCGGTGGCCGGGGAGCAGCCGGGGATCGAACCGGCGCCGCAGAGGCTGCGGGCAGCTTCGCAACCCAGTGCTCAACCGCTGCGCCACCGGGAGGCCCAGCAATAGGTTCTTAACATTTGATAAGGAATTAAAAAGCTGAGCTCAAAGTAGGAGTAACATAAAGGAAAAAAATGTTCTTAGCTTATCAATATGATTTTCTGCTTAGGATGGTAAGGTTTAGAAAGCATTTTAAGATTATGTATATTTAATTGTGTATTTTTTATCTTTTAGGAGATAGTATTTTAGGAGCTGGTTCCTGTGGTGGTGTTCCTATTCTTTTTTCTAGAAACAGTGGATTGGTATCTGTTACTTCAAGGGAAAATGTGTCCATATTAGCAGAAGACCTTGAAGATTCACTTGCATCTTCAGTTGCTGGACCAGGCAATGAGGTAACATGGTTCTATAACATTCTAAAAGTTGGGTTAGAGTATTTCCTACATGTTTTTGAAATAAAGACAGTCTTAAAAGAGTTGTGATGAAAATACTTGAATTATGTAAAAGCAAAACTATAAAAAGCTGTGTTGGTTATGATGAAATCTCTAAATAATTTTATGACACAAGGGGGCTAAACATATGTATGTATACTGCTTATATAGATAACCTTTCTATACGACTTTGGCCATTTGGTGCCTTTTATCTAAACCATTTGGTATATGGAGTATTGTAAACAGCTTGTGTGTCTGCGTTGTTGCTGTCATAGGTGGGTCCAGTTTTAGTAAAATGAAGAATATCCTGATACCTTCACCTGTAAATCATAGTTTGTTGTTTTATAGAGTATGGTTTTTGAGACTTCTACAAAGAATGAAATGATAGCCCAGGAAGATAAAACCAAATTGCTAAAAGCTGCTTTTCTGCAATATTGCAGGTATGACAAGTTTTTTAAATTTGTATCTTACTTATGTATGAGGACACATTTTACTGACATGTGCTACTTGTAGACTGGTAGGAACAAGTTGAAATGATGCCACCAAGGAGAAAATGTTTTTCTGAGCTTTAGCACTTTACAAATTGTTATTCTGAACTTGCAGTCACAGGAGGGTTCCAGCTAGACAAAGGAAGAAAACATGATGTAACTGCGTCCTGTTAAAAAGGTGACCATAAGACCGCTTGCAAGCATCTTTTATGTATAATGTTACAGCAGATAAGTTTCGTGCAAAAATTTTATTGGTGTAATAAAGGAATTAATTAGACTTGGCCTAATGGGTTTTGATGTGGACAGAATCACTGCAGGACTTAGTAGCTTATTTAATGTACCCATGAGTCTGGCTATTAGGAATTGGGCTCGGGTCATCATTTTACTGATCCTGTCTGGATTCACTCCTGGTCTGTACTCAACTGTCATCTCTCCCTTGCTCACATTTGGGGGGTTTAGGCTGTTACATTCTTATCCTCTTCACCTGGCCTCTGCTCACGCAGCAGGCTACCCTGCCTTGTTTAGATATCACAGAGTTCCAGAAGTGGCAAGAGAGTAAGCCTCACTGCACAGTGCTCTAAGTCTCCGCTTGGGTCACCTTTACTAATATCCCAGAGCAAGTTACAGTGGTGAGCCCACATGAGAGGATGCTCACAGGAAGTGTGTGTTCTCCGGAAGTGTGTATATATACAGGGAGGGGAAGAACTGGATGCAGTCTGTCACACTCGCTGACCTGGTACTTGGGTTTTGAAGCAAATTTAGTCATTTTGGTTTGTCCTAGACATATATATTCTGCAGATAATATATTCTGGTACTTTTTTTTTTTTTTTTTAAAGATTTATTTATTTACTTACTTACTTACTTACTTATTTATTTATACAAGCACTGGGTACAGTCAGAGGTGCGGGAGGGTGAGAGAATTCACCAGAGCCAGAGTGGAGAGTAGAACAGGCAGAGTGACAAAGTACACTGCTGAGGGGAGCAGCAGGCGGCAGGAGAGGTCTGCACGCCATGTGGGACCCTTGCCCGGCAGCCGGGGATCGAACCAGTGCTGCAGAGGCTGCGGGCAGCTTTGCAACCCAGCGCTCAACCGCTGCGCCACCAGGGAGGTCCCTATTCTGGTACATTCTTAATAAACTCCCAGGAAACTTGTGATCCAACCCTTGCCTCACCCTGTGTGAGACTGTACAAATTGCTTAACATTTCTAGTATTCTGTTTTTTCCTTTTAGAGGTGTTGTGGGGGCTCACTGTTGGGGTGCTTTAAGGATCATTAGTTTCAATCTAGCAGATATTTGTTTTGAAGAAATATGCAGAGTTCATGATCCTATGATCTCGCTCATAGTGGTATCTGATGCAGAGTGCTCACATTTGTGGAAGGGACAGTGGTTAGACTCCATAATGACAGTTTTAACACGCTGTGCCATCATGATGGTCTATAGAGCGTTGGTTTGCCTTCAGAAGAGGGCACCATTATTTGAGTTTTTTGGTTCTGTTTTTGAATAGTATTCTTTTATTTATTTTTTAAAGATTTATTTATTTATGCATACAAGAGCTGGGGTACAGGCCAGAGATGCAGGGGGGTGAAAGGATTCACCAGAGACAGAAAGGGGAACAGAACAGGCAGACTGACTGAAGTACACTGCTGAGGGGAGCAGCAGGCAAGACAAGAGAGGTCTGCTTTGCCAAGTGGGTTAGCTCCCTGGCCGGCCAGTGATTGAACTCGTGCTGCTGTGAATTGCTTCATAGTGCAGTGCTTAACCCCTTGCGCCGCCAGGGAGGCCCCTAAATAGTATTCTTTTAATGTTATTCTGTTGCGTGATGTTTAATCTTACTCCCAAGATCTGGATTAAAATCCTTTTTTAGCTTGCACATGTTTATTTTTTAATTACCAGTTCTTCAGATTTGTGGCATCTCAAGATTTAAATGAGAATGGAACAAGTCATCATAGTCATTGTATTAGTTTCTGTGGTTGCTATAACAAATTACCACAAACAGGGTGGCTTAAAATAGAAATTTATTTTTTCCTGGATTTTGACATCAGAAATCTGAACTAAAGTATCATAGGCCGTGCTCCCTATGAAGGCTCCAGGGTAGAATCATATTTTCTCTCTCTTTTCTTTTGAATGTCAATGTTTCCTCCTTCCCTTGAGACATACTCTTCAGTTATTCCTCTCCTGTATTCAGCATATGATTGTTGAATCAGTGTCTCCCTTTTAATTAAATTTATTAAAACTAATTCACTTTGGGCTAAAAATAGACTTTAATTTCACCATTAACTTTTTCATGATGAGTTTTGAAAATATTTTGCCTCCTTTGATATTTTTATTTTCCAATTGTATTTCAGAAAAGACTTAGGTCATGCTCAAATGATGGTTGATGAGCTCTTTTCCTCTCACTCTGATTTGGATTCCGATTGTGAATTAGATAAAGCTATAACCCAAATCAGTGTGGACCTGGTGGATGACTACCCAGCTTCTGATCCACGATGGGCTGAGTCTGTCCCTGAAGGTAAGAACATCTAGTTTTAATAGTGTGAGTGATCTGTTTTTAAGAATATTCTGTTTCTTTTATTAAAGGGTCTCTCAAAGCATAAATTTTAGTTTTTGAAACAATTTAATGTTCAGTATTCTTTAAAGGATTGTAATTTTTTTATAGTACATTTTGAAAGGAGCTCAGCACAGGTTTACATAATAGCATAGAATACAGGGAAATGGAGCAAATTCTTCTTGTTTTATCCAAAGCGTATTAATTAGTCCTACTTTAGCTTTATTAGCATTTTATTTCTAAAAGGAAATTAGTTGGCATGGGTGGGTATTTGGCACTTATTAGCCACCAAATTAAATGATTATTGTGGCATAATCACTCTATGTGGTAATATATTCCCGCTAGGAGTGGCAGTATGCCGATCTCAATATGTAGAAGTGGGCATGTCATATTTGCCTCTTATTTTCCTGCCTGTCCCGAGTGACTGTCCCTCTTACCATTACTTCCACAGCAGCCATCAGGGGCGCTCTGGGGGTTCCCAAGTACCAGGGAACTTTCTCAAGCATTCATTTCTAATTCCCTACTTGCAAGTTTACTAAGCCTCATTAGAGATTTAGGAAGAAAACATTAATGCTTACCTTCTTTGATTGTTTTTTTTTGCATTGTCAAGCTTATGATATATGACTAAACTAATAATGGCATTTTGTGTTTTTAAAAAAATACGGTATTAAGCACCCCAAATTTTTCTCTAAATTTCTTAGACTCTTCGATTTATATTTTCAGATTGAAACCAACTAATTACACACATTTGAGTCTCTCTCTTGTCTAACCTCAGATAGCAAACCCATGTATAAGGGGGGTTACTATAGTTTTTTCTTAATTTTGAGTTTTAATTGCAGTAACTACTGCAAAACTAATAAGCTGCTTGTTTTGTGACTATGTTTCAACAGAAGCACCTGGGTTCAGCAACACATCACTGATCATTCTTCACCAACTAGAAGACAAGATGAAAGCCCATTCTTTTCTTATGGACTTTATTCACCAAGTAAGCGTGCCAGCTGTGGCAAGAGGGTGGCTATACTAGACCTTTTGTGTGATCTGCAGGGCAGTGGGAGCTCCTTTTTCTCTTACTTTGAGGTGTTTTGTGGGTGGGGCATAATTAGTGTTTTCCGTTTTCTTTTGTGAATTAAACGTAAATAATTCCAGGCTATAAATACCTGTTACTCCAAATGTAAAAACTGCATTGAGAAAAGATAAAAAGAAAAATAGTGTACTTTAGCAGAAATGTTTCAGCTTTTTTTGTATCATCCTGTGACATCCTGCTTTTCATTCGGATTTCTTTTGTGCTTTTATATAAAATTTCATGAGCTTTTCATGAGTTGATTTTACATTGCTGGAAGTATAGTATAGATGTTAAACTGATGACAAACTTATAAATGGATTTTTTTTTTTAAGTAAATGGATTTTTAGTTTTGGAGGCTTCTGAGCACTTGAAATGTGACTGGAGCAATTAAGGACCTATATTTTTAAAATTTAATTTGAATCAAATCACCGCTATTGTTAGTGGCTACTTTATTGAACAATAGATCTTCTAGGTGATTTCAGAAATAATTTGATCACTCCTAATCCAATATTCTGGTTCAATTTTAATGCATGATTTGGTTCCTGTCTGCTCTTTTTTCAAAACGCTATTTATTGAGTTGCTCTTTTTCGTGTTTTTAGGTGAGAAAAACACAGCATTTCCTCCTGATGTAATTGTTTGATCAAGTGTATCTGTTAACTATTAGTTTATAACATTCACCCCAAAATGTGGTGGATTAAAACAGTTCTGTGGGTTAGCTGGATGGTTCTTCTGATTTCACCTGGAATCACTCCTTGAGCTGCATTTTGGGCAGGCTGAAGGTCCCCAGGCCTCTCGCATGTCTGGTAGTTGGTACCACTCAATTGGGGCCACTCAGTTCTCCACTTACTGCCTCACTATCCTTTAGACTGGTCTGCTTCCTGTGCGCTCAGGGCAGCACTGCAAGGGGTGAACTAAGAAGCCGTCGGCTTCTTCAGTTGTTACCTTAGGTGTCACATAATGTCACCTACACCTTAGTAGACATTGTCAAAGCCAGTCACAAGGCCAGCTCAAATGAAAAGAGTTGAGAAATTGGGTCTGCCTCTTGAGGGAAGCAGTGGCAAAGTCCTGTTGCAGACAGGTGGGCTTGCCGGGAGAGAAGGAGTCTGTAGTCCTAATGTGCCACACTGAGAACACGTCTATTTGTCAGATGTGAGAGTGCCATGGAGCAAAAGCAATGGCAGTGTCTCTCGGCACAGCCTCCCTGGGCTTTAGAGATCCTAATGGAGTCACACTGCTATTGGCAGCAGTGTCTATTGTAAGGAAATGTCCAGCTACATCTGAAAATCCTATCCTAAGCCTTAAATTTTTACTTCCTGTAATATTTAGAGCTTATTTCACTAATCAGGAAGAATTTACATTAGTAATCAGGAAAATGTGTAACTGGATACGTATCTCTAAGGAACTAATTCTGAATATAAGACTCTTCTTAAGACAAACTCAGCAAGGCCATGGCCTAATTCTGAGGCAGATGGGAAGAACTGTCTGTGCCTCATGACACTGTCTTTGCCTCTATTTTTCTGATATTGAAGGAAGCCTATGTCCAGTGTGCTTCTAGTGGAATTATGATTAAATTGACTTGTTTGCTACCGTAGATGCTGTTTAAGAATATGTGCTTGTCTTTTCACAAGGTTGGCATCTTTGGACGGCTAGGCACTTTTTCAGTAAGAGGAATGCCGATGGCAACTCGGCTCTTGCTCTGTGAGCATGCCGAAAAGTTGTCGGCCACCATTGTTCTCAAGAACCACCACTCGCAACTTTCTGACCTCGTGAACACAGCCATATTGATTGCTTTAAACAAGAGGGACTGTGAAATCCCATCCAACCTGACCCCGGCAGACCTCTTTTTTAGAGAGGTAAGATGAGTCCCCTTGCTTACCTTCATGTGTCTTTGTGGAGCTGTGCTGTTTACTGATCACATCCAAATGGGGAAAAGTGAGGACAAAAGTTCTAACTGAAAATTTTTTTTTAGGATTTATTTATTTATGCATGTAAGAACTGGGGTATAGGCCAGAGGTGTGGGGAGTGAGAGGATTGACCAGAAACAGAGTGGGGAGCACAACAGGTGGATTGACTGAAATACACTGCTGTGGGGAGCTGTGGGCGAGACAGGAGAGGTCTGCTGTGCCATGTGGGTCAGCTCCCTGGCCGGGGATCGAATTCATGTTGCAGTGGCTGTGTATAGCTTGACAGCACTATGTCTTTAACCCCTGCACTACCAGAGAGGCCTCTTTCCTTGGTTTTTAAATTTATTTTCACCATTAACTATTTTTTTCTGACTAATGAGCTGAGGATATAGCTTAATGAGTAAAGCACCATAATTTTTGTCATGAGTAGTTGACTTTACTCCCTCAGGTGTCCCAGGTAGATACCATCTGTGAGTGTTTACTGGAGCATGAGGAACAAGTCTTAAAGGAAACATCATTGGACTCAGTTGAATGGGCTGATGTGGTGATCAACGTGAACAATATTCTCAAGGTACAAGCATGCAGTGACGATTCCATCAAATCAAAGCCCAGAGTGGATAGAAGAGATAAAAGTAGATTCCTTATTCCTACTCTGTATCATCAGTAACTTAAGAGGCTTTAACCACTTTTCAATGTCAAAATACTAGAAAAATATCAGTCATCAATCATTTAATAGATATTTTGAATGTTTGCCTTGTGCATGTTAAAATATCTATAACCCCAGGTTCTAACTGGTAGAATAAATCTTATTTGGAGGATACACTCACACACATTTTTATATAATTATGTATTACTTTTAATGTAACTAAGTCTCATTTCCATTTTTTAATTATGCAGAGCTTACACTTATTAAAATGTTCCACTTAATTTTCCTGCTAGTTGACTTTTTATCTTTAGAAATACTGAAATTCATTCAATTCAGCATATAGCATAGTTCATTTTTTTCCAGGACATGCTGCAGGCTGCTAGTCATTATCGACAAAATAAAAGCTCCTTATATAGAAGAGACGACCCACTAGGAAATGAACCTGAGTATATTCCTTGGACAGGTGAGATTATAAGCACTGAGCCCAAATATACTGATTAATTAACAAGTCAACATATATTTCTAATAATCTATCATTTTTGGAAGGTTTGTAAGTAGAATGAAAAATGTCATCTCCAAAATAGAACCCTTATTTACTGTATTATTTTGTGTGTTTTCACAGCAACAAGTGGCCCTGCTGGCATCCGAACAGCAATAGTACGCCAGCATGGAATTATCCTGAAGATGGTTTATCCTCAGGCAGACAGCAACCTGCGAAACATTCTGACAGAGCAGCTCGTGGCACTGATCGATTGTTTCTTGGATGGTTATGTTTCCCAGCTTAAGTCTCTGGACAAATCTAGTGATCAAGAAAGATATAACAGTTTGAAAATGGAATACCTACAGAAAAGATCAGATCTCTTATCTCCTCTTCGTAAGTGCATTATGTAACAAAAGCTGTGGGTCTTCGAATTTGCAGAGTGATTAAAGAATCATATTAATGCAATGTGTTTAAAGTCATATTGTTAATCCAGCTGTAACCAAGAATTTAAAGCAAAGCAAATATGTACAGCACTCTGTTTAGTCAGCCTTATTTTCATTATGTACCATATACAATTCCGGTAGATGACAGTGGAGATGGTTGAAAAATAAGCAAATTTTAACATGTGGAGACTGCCCTCAAAAAGCTTATCATCCCAGACCTTTACATAAATAACTAGACTGAAAAGTAGAGCATGGTAGAATAGTGGGTGTTCAGCAAAGGACATGTTATTTTTTTTTTTAAAGATTATTTTTATAACAAGAGCTAGGGTACAGGCCAGAGGCACGGGAGGATGAGAGGATTACCAGAGACAGAGTGGGAAGCAGAACAGGCAGACATCCGAAATACACTGCTGAGGGGAGCAGAGACAGGAGAGGTCTCCCACACCATGTGGGAATCTCCCTGGCCAGCTGGGAATCGAACCCGCGCTGCAAGGCTGTGGACAGCTTCACAGCGCTGCGCTCAACCTGCTGCACCACGGGGGAGGCCCAAAGGACACATTATTTTTAAGACTAGGATTGTTTGTAGCTTGTTTGGCTAATACATGAATCAAGGGAATAAGCATTTGACTAAGCAGTGGTGAATCAAGGGACTGAATTTGCATCTTTAGTGTGTTTACTTGGATTGTGGAACTGAATTCTAGTAATGGAAATATTTTCTTTCTATTCTTTTAGTATATAACATGAATAAAGATAAAATTTCAAGTTATATCTTTTATTACATATTAAGTTTTGGTAACAGGATTTTTCCCCATCTGTTCTCATTTCTACAGTCACACTAGGCCAGTACCCAATGGCTGCTTCTTTAGCAGAAAAGTACTGTGACTTTGATATCTTAGTACAAATGTGTGAGCAGACTGACAACCAGACTAGACTCCAGCGCTACATGACCCAATTTGCTGATCAGGTAACAAACATTAGGGCCATACACAGTAGGTTAGCTGTGTATAGAAGTGTAGTAGTATATTCTGTAGTATAGCTTTACCATTTCAAGTCTTGCTTGTTTTTTGGAATATAATGCAATCTATTTCTAGTTAACTTGGATGCTAATTTGTACATTGTTTCTTTGAAGATTAGCAGACAGTTCTTTATTATATGTAATGTTACTAAAAGATTCTTTGACCTTTGAAAAATATGTTAAAACTTACATTTTTATTTTCAATTGTATAATAATTAAAATAGTTAAGTGCATGAATATTGATAAAGTTTTAAAACTTTGAATAAAAGATCTTGGAAGCATAGGAATGCTATGTGTAGAGAGCTCAGATTTCCATACATCTATGATTCCTGATCTCTTTGTTTGACATCATGCTTCCTACTTTTTTTTAAAGTTCCCATTGTGACACACACACACACTTTATAGTTGCTCCATGTGGCCAGTTTATTCAGTCAGTTGATCTTTATGTAAAAACTGACATTTTTCTTACTATAAAATAATACTTTGGGCCTCCCCTGGTGGCGCAGTGGTTGAGTGCTGGGCTGTGAAGCTGCCCGCAGCCTCTGCAGCGCTGGTTCAATCCCCAGCCGCCGGCGAGGGTCCCACTTGGTGCGCAGACCTCTCCTGCCTCGCCCTCTCCTGCCTCGCCCGCTGTTCCCCTCAGCAGTGTATTTCATCGGTCTGCCTGTTCTGTTTCCTGCTCTGGCTCTGGTGAATTCGCTCACCCTCCTGTGCTTCTGACTTGTGCTTGCATAAATAAATAAATCTTTAAAAAAAAAAAAGTAATACTTTATAAAATTTAGTAAACCTCTCCTAACAAAAAAGGTAATAATCATTCAATTCCAACAGCCAGAGAGAACTCTTTCATAACAACATTTTTCTAATCCTTTTATTCTATATTATGTGCAAACATGCTTTGTTATCTGCTTATCTCAGTCATTACATTGCAAACATTTGTCCATATTGTTAAATATTCCAAACAATGCTTTCAGTGTTGTTAGGGTATTTCATGGATTGGATATAACTTAACTTCTTCAATGCCTGATTGTTGGACATAACTTATTTAGAATTTCACAATAGTGCTTAAAGTAAATACTTTTTTTTCTTATTTTTCCTTTTATTACATGATAATGTTCATTAATATTTCACATGAATGGCCAAAATGCAGGAAGTTACAAAGGAGAGAGAAGTTATAAAGGAAGGAAATAATTTTACAGATCTATGCTTAGATTTCGATTAAAGTAAATACTTTTGTACCCATCATGATTTTTATTCTTTTCATGGATTCTAGTTGTCTGTTGGCCATCCATTTTTGTACTGCTTCTTTCTTCTTTAGCTTTTAATAGTTTAAGTTCTTTGTGAGCTCCAAAAACCTGATCATCCTTGAGACTGCTTCTGTTGCTTGTTTATTAGACGTGTTTTTGCTTTATGTCTTGTAACTTGTTATTGCATTTTGGCTTTTTTCATCAAAGAACCATAAAGATGGGAATCAATGCTAGTTTTCTACTGAGAGGTAGATAAAATGAGAGGCAGCACCACTCAATTCGTCGAGAATAGAGAAGTGAACCAGGACCTGGTTGCAGCTTCTATTATTCCTTTTCATTCTGATTTCAAAAGTCTTTGGGTAGACAGTGGTGTTCACTGTAGAATTCCTTCCTCAGTGGAAATATCTCTTACATAATATCTCTAAGGTAAATGAATGCAAGACATTTAGTCTTCCTTTTCAGTCCAGCCTCCTACACTGCCCCAACATTCAAGAAATACCCTCTGGGGAAAATGAAGACATTTGGGGCCTCTTTAGATTCCAATTTATTGACCAGCCCACATGGCCATCTGGCACAACCATTTACCCATGAGAATCTCTTTTTGGAATGATAGTGTATCTGCACTGTCCAAGAGAACTTTGTGTGATAATGGAGATCTTGCTTATTCATATGTACTTTCCAAAATGGAAGTTGCTAGCAACATCTAGCTATCAAGCACTTGAAATGTGGCTAGTGTGACTGAGGAACTGACTTTTTAATTAAATGTTAAGTAGCTACAGGTGGCCAGTGGCTACCAGATTGAATAATGTATAGATTCTTCATGGTCTTGTAGGAGATCTTTCTAAAGGTGAATATCCTTATTTGTCAAGTGAGGTGATTGAATAGGTGATTTTTTTAAAAATAAATTTTATTTTTATATTCCCCATACAATTGCAACCCCCTTATTTTGACCCCAATCCCTCCCCTCCCCGCACCCCACCCCCATTGAGTGTCACTGGTTCATAGTTTTTTGTTGATTTTGATTTTCACTTTCTTATAGTTTGAATAGGTGATTTTTGAGGACCCTGAAATATAGGATATTAGTGTTTAAAACAGGATTTCTACTCTGGAGCCTAAAACCATTGCAAGAAATTTAATATGAGAAATGTATTTTCTAAAGCTGTATTACTAAATATTGAATTTTTGGCTCTGTTATTTGTAGAATTTTTCAGATTTTCTCTTCCGTTGGTATCTGGAAAAAGGAAAGCGAGGCAAATTATTATCTCAGCCTATTTCTCAGCATGGAGAGTTGGCTAATTTTTTGCAAGCTCATGAACATCTCAGCTGGTTACATGAAATTAATAGTCAAGAATTAGAAAAGGTAAGAAGGATTTAGTTATATGGAGCAACTTTTAATTTAGTTAGTTTTTTTAATAGTTAGATTTTAGTCATTTAAAATGCTCTAGATTACTTAATATGTTTCTTTGTCTCATATAATTTGAATATAGTAATTTTTTTGATTTATAATATTATTGCCACTACTAGTAAGGTCAATAAAAAAGTTGCCCATTGTGATTTGCCTATTACAGTAAATCATAAAATTTTATCAGCATGTAAATAACAGTTCTCAGTTTAGTTGTGAATGTTTTCTTATTGATATAGTTTGGTTAAGTTGGGATGAACTTCATCTTTATTTCAACTTGGATTATTACACAGGATCTTATCAGAGTTTTCATATTTTGTTTATTATAGGCTCATGCAACACTTTTGGGTTTGGCAAATATGGAAACTCGTTACTTTGCAAAGAAAAAAACCCTTCTTGGTTTGAGTAAATTGGCTGCATTAGCTTCAGACTTTTCAGAGGATGTACTGCAAGAAAAAATTGAAGGTAAAAGAATTTGAACAAGAAGACATATAATTCTGTCATGTTACCAATAAAATTTAAAATGTAATGCTTTATCGTTTAATAGGATGCGTTAGAAACAGGGGCCATCTCTCTTGTAAAATGAATACTTTGTGTTCATTGTCCTGGACAATTGCTCAGTTATATACTTTGGGGTTTTTTTTTAAAGATTTATTTATTTATTTATACAAGCACTGGGTAGTCAGAAGCGCGGGAGGGTGAGAGAATTCACCGAGCCAGAGTGGGGAGCAGAGCAGGGAGCAGAGCAGGCAGAAGGACCGAAGTACACTGCTGAGGGGAGCAGCGGGCGGCAGGAGTGGGACCCTCCTCCGGTGGCCGGGGAGCAGCCGGGGATCGAACTGGCGCTGGAGAGGCTGCGGGCAGCTTCGCAACCCAGAGCTCAACCGCTGCGCCACCGGGGAGGCCCTCAGTTATATACTTTGGATTCTCTTTTTAGAGAAAAGTTGTTTTGTGTTCTAAATAAGAATTCCTGGGCCTCCCCCGTGGCCCAGCGGTTGAGCGCTGGGTTGCGAAGCTGCCTGCAGCCTCTGCAGCACCAGTTCAATCCCCGGCCGCCGGGCAAGAGTCCCGCATGGCACGCAGACCTCTCCTGCCGCCCGCTGCTCCCCTCAGCAGTGTACTTCATCACTCTGCCTGTTCTGCTCTCCGCTCTGGCTCTGGTGAATTCTCTCACCCTCCCACACCTCTGGCTGTACCCAGTGCATGTATAAATGAATAGATAAATCTTAAAAAAAAAAAAAAAAAGAAATGTGAGGATCCCAAAAAATCCTAAAAATAAATAAATAAATAAGAATTCCTAATGAATAAATTCAGATAATTTGAACAGAATATTCTGATTATACTCCTAATGACTCATATTTCAAGAACAAAAAAACTGAAAAGAAATCTTGACTTTTACTCAGTGGGTTTGTTGTAAGTAGTGGTATTTCTGCTGTTGGTTTCAGAACTGAAAACTTTTTGGTGTCATAATTACTAAACTTTTCTATATATTGCAGATTGAGAAAATGATATGTCATTTTTGAGAACCAAGGGAGATACCGCTAGAGAAATGAGGAAGAATCCCATATTGCTGCATTTTAATTGGAGATATTAGAATAACGATGTTTAAAAGATGCCTTCTTTTGCCCACTGAAAATATCTAAGAGCAGTGACACCTACTAGATGAATATACCTTATCCCATATTTTGGTTTCTAACACAGTGGGAGTATTTTGTAATTTCCTATACATTATTATCACACTGCATCTAATTTGGAAGTAGACTTTAAAAAATTAGCTTTCAAAAATCCTTATGGAATTTATGAATTATAGTGAAACACAACAACAAAAAGTAGTCTGTAATCCCACTGCCTGCGAGATAACTATTACTGTGTTGCGTATTTTCCCAGTCTGTTTTCTGGGTGTGGAAATATTGCGCAGACATGTCTTCTTAAATTTTACAAAATTGGGATCATGTGAAATGCCATTATTTGAGCATATATTTATGTTGGTCACTCCATTTTCTGTGACTTGTATTTATGAGACTACCTTGTAGTTTTCAGTCCTTTTCCCTGCAACTCCGCACACTCTCTTGTACAAACTCAGCACAGGCAATGGGCTATAGCGTGGATAGTTTATGACAGGTAAAAGCCTCCTCACTAGAGGTACCCATTGTTAGTAAGTAGGTTTGGTACAGTCTTGCAAGTTTTGCTTTTCCTGTGATGTACTCCTAGTGACATTTAAATAGAGCATTTCCCTTAGCAAATGAAATTATGCTAGAAACCCTGGTGGCGAGAAGCACTTTGCTAAGTTTTTCCATAAATTGGGACTGAGAGACCCCAGATTTGGGGGAGTTAGATCTCAACCTTTTATTTTTAAGTTATTTATTCTGCAACATCTTCAAGCAGTAGAGTATATTTTCTTAGCTCTTCTCTCCCCCTATTTCTAGTTCCTGTGATTATACATGACTTGATCCAAACCATGAGTATGTTTTAACTTGTCAGAAATCAAGAGTAAGTAGAAAAAGTGAAAGTTTACTGTCCCTTCCCCTTTCTTATTTTGACTACTAGAAATGGCTGAACAGGAGCGCTTTCTACTGCACCAGGATACCTTGCCTGAACAGCTGCTAACAGAGAAACAGCTGAGTCTCAGTGCAATGCCTGTATTGAGTGCACCACAACTTATAGGCGTATGTATTTTTCATATCCTTGCACCTTTTTAGTCTCAAGAGATCCTCAATATTTCTTGGGCCATGTGATATAATTCCTAAGAGAAGTCATCCTTCTACTTCCTGTTTTCCTGATAACTTTCCCCTAGAATAAGTTGTTGGCAGTGATTGGAACGGGATGCTAATTAGTGTAAAGCAATGACTTGACTCTTGCCTCCCCCATCTCTATACTCCTAAGATGCTCGTCCAGTGACAGAAGAAATTACTTGTAATTTGTTTTTCCAGAGTAGGAGCAGTATGTACCATGAGGTACAATTCAGGCTTTTCTATAAGAAAAAATACTTTAGGAACTGAATTTATGTAACCTGTAAGTGCCACCTTGCCCTTTTCCTCTGCAGCAGAACATTCTGAAGGGCATGACAACCATTAGTTACATGTTAGTGTATGTTTTCTTGTCTTTTGCGTTAACCATAGATCAACTGCGTTTTTTTTAATATTTTATTTTATATAATTCTTACATCATTTTTCATCTTTGCGCAATGTATGCATTTTCATTTTGGTTATATTCCCCATACAAATGCACCCCCCCCTTTATTCTGACTCTAGTCCTTCCTCTCCCCCCCCCCACCTTCCCTATAGTGTGTCTCTGGTTTATAGTTGCTTTTTGATTTTGATTTTTACTTTGTATTGATTAGTCTTTTTCCTGGTCTCTTATTTAAGTTTTCTAAATTCCTGCTATGAGTGAGACCATCTGGTATTTTTCTTTTTCTTTCTGACTTATTTCGCTGAGCATGATCCTTTCTAGCTCCATCCATGTTGCTGCAAACTGAATGTGTTTATCTTTTTTGATTGCTGAGTAATATTCCATGGTGTATATGTACCACATCTTCTTGATCCAGTCATCTATTTTGGGGCATTTGGGTTGTTTCCATAGCTTAGCTATTGTAAATAGTGCTGCTATAAACATAGGGATGCAGGTGCCCTTTGGAATTAATGTTTCTGTGTCCTTTGGGTAAATATGTAGGAGTGGAATTGCTGGATCAAATGGAAGCTCTATGTGTAGGAGGTCAAGAAATCTCCGTATAGGTTAGACCTATACGTGTAGGAGGTCAAGAAATCTCCGTATAGGTTAGACCAGTCTGCACTCCCACCAGCAGTGCAGGAGAGTTCCTTTTTCTCCACAACCTCGCCAACATTTGTTGTTGCTAGATTTTTTAATATGTGCCATTCTCACTGGTGTCAAATGGTATCTCATGGTAGTTTTGATTTGCATTTCCCTGATTACAAGTGATGTTGAACATTTTTTCATATGCCTGTTGGCCAATTGCATTTCCTCTTCAGTGAAGTTTCTTTTTAGCTCTTCTGCCCATTTTTTGACTGGATTATTTTCTTTGTTTTTGTTGAGTCTCATCAGCTCTTTGTAGATTTTTGTGATCAGACCTTTATCATTAGTGTTGTGTGCAAAAATGTTCTCCCAGTCGGTGGGGTTTCTCTTTGTTTTTGTTATTGTCTCTTTTGCTGTGCAGAAGCTCTTTAATTTGATGTAGTCCCAGCTGTTTATCTTTACCTTCACTATCACTGCTTTGGGCGATGTGTCTGTAAAGATGTCTTTGTGGTGCATGTCATGTAGTGTTTCGCCTATATTTTCTTCTATGTATTTTATGGTTTCAGGTCATATGTCTAGTTCTTCAATCCATTTTGAGTTGGTTTTTGTGCATGGTGTGAGGCAGTAGTCAAGCTTCATTCTTTTGCATGTAGCGACCCATCAACTGCATTTTTTAATCATAGATCTCAATATTTAAAACTGTTTGATAGGGCAACATTTCAAAAGCATTGTAACCAGCTTTAAAAGTGCAAGGACAGCAATTTATTGCAAAGAGTAAGCACAAAAGAATTCTGAAATGCTTATACTATCTTGAACTTAACAATATAAATTTACTGACATTTTAAAAGTTTGTATACCAAATAATGCAAATTAACTACTCATATGCATGTTTTAAAACAGAGTTTAGTTAAAAAAAGAAAGTTTAAAAAAGTTTATTGTGAGGTAGGTAGAGTTTCCAAATGTGACGCTGTTCTTTACCATAAAAAATATCTACAACTTACTTGAAAGACATAATGACTTTTTTTGAGATTTATTTTTATTTATTTATGCATATAAGAACTGGGGTATAGGCCAGAGGTACGGGGGCGAGGTGTGGTGAGAGGATTCACCAGAGACAGAATGGGGAGCAGAACAGGATCTACTGCTGAGGAGAGCAGTGGGTGAGACAGGAGAGGTCTGCTGCGCCATGTGGGTTAGCTCCTTGGCCTGGGATCGAACTCATGCCGCAGTGGCTGGTGATAACTTGGTAGCACTGAGAGTTTAAGCCCTGTGCTACCAGACCTCTCTGAAAGACATAACGTCTGACATTATGTCTGAAAGACATAATGACTTCTTTATAAATTCCTCTAGTCTCAGTTATGTGATTGCTTAAAATAATCCACTACTCTTTTTTTTTTTTAACATGCCAAAGTTATATATATGTGAAGAAAATAGAAGAGCTAATGAATACGATTTCAAGAAAGCATTGGACTTGCTAGAATACATTGATGAGGTAAATAAAGTCATTTGAGATAGTTGCAGGAAAATAACACGATTTATATGTGGTTTTCTGTCAAACTGAATACAAGTAAAAAGAGTGGGGGGAATAGCTAATCATGAAAATGTATTAATTTAAAAAATATCTCTGGGTCATCTACTCTGGTTCATAACTTGGAGTATGCACAGTCTTTAGAAAAACTGTCCAAGAGATTCCATTTTCTGATAATATTCTCACACCCCCAGATGTGCTTTTCCATATACAAATGAAAAATGTTGCTTTTCAAGGTCCTAGGGTATTTTCTGTGTTTCACTTACTAAGTCATTATTAGTTCTTCAATTTGACATGTTACGTTACTTTATCAATTTGTTCCTCATTCTGTTTACCCTCAAAGAAGTTGTTTCTCAGCCTTTGGTGGGAGGGAGGAGTCCTAATGAAAAGTCTGTAGGGTAAATAGCTCACCCTGCAATTGAATAAAGTTTAGTAGATTTTATAATCATAACATCTTGGCTTTTATACTACCTTCTTTAAAATCTGAACCCTCTCAGGTGAATAAATTGGAAAAAAAGGGATCCACTGTATGGTGATGGATGGACACTAGACTTGGTGATGAGCATAATGTATATATGCAGATGCTGATTTATAAATACACCTAAAACCTGCATAATATTATAAACCAGTGGTACTTCAATTAAAAAAGTCTTTGTTCTCATAAGGTTCCTGATATAATCAGATTATCACAGAATAATCAGAAACTAATTCACAAAATTATTGATTTACTCTTTTTAGCAATATTAATATTCTAGGGGATTTTTTAAAATTTATGAATTAAAGCAACAATATTTATGAAGAATTAAGATTTGACATAAATGTAAGCATGTTATTTTTTAAAAATCTGAATGAATGAGGATATTTTCATTTTGTTTTGCGTGAAGGAGGAAGATGTAAATATAAATGATCTAAAACTGGAAATCCTTTGCAAAGCTCTTCAGAGAGATAAGTAAGTTTTCATGGCATAAATCTAAGATACAGTTTGGGAAAAGGATCCATCAGGAAGACTATGATATCAAACATCAAATAGTTTTATAATCTAGTTGTATTGTGAAAGTATTAAATGTTTGCATTAATAATCTTAAATTTTTCATTTGGTAGTTAAAAGAATATTAGGACCACTTGTATAATAAATCTGTACTTCTGATTTTAAAATATAGACTATTATTTTGCACAGAAATACCCATTTTCCTTATTTTCACAGAAGTCATACCAATTTTGCCAAATAAGACTGGAGGCTATAGTTTTTGTTTTTGTTTTTTTCAACTAAAAAATAAAATATGAAGATCAGTGCCCTCTTCTGTGGTTTTTAGACCTCTTTTTCATAGTCATCTTCCTGTGGAGGACTATTTCCATCTGCAGGAATGGTGGCATTAATGTTCAGTAACAAAAGCAGACTAAAAATAATTAGTTGTAGGCTTGGATTGTTTCAAGGAAAATAATTTTAAAGAGAACATGATTTGAGTGCAAAATCTTACCTATTTACAATTCTCCTTTTTTCTCTGGTGTTGAGAAATTGCAGTACAACTATTTTTTGCTAAAGTATTTCTTCCTATAATCACTCCCAAATAGTTTTAAAACTGTTGTTAAATTTGGTTTTGGAGGTCGTCCTCCGAAGGATCTAGCTCTGTCTACTTGATTCACTTTCCCAATCAGAAAAATGTACTGCCATTTTACTGGAATTTCTTGTTCTGGCTGCCTCTTTAAAAATTTTAAGGTATCTTGTGGGGTATATTCATTGATAACTACAAAACAGTGGTTCTGTGTTTGTATTTCAGTACTAGATAATCTCAACTAGATAAAGAAAACATTATACCAAGCACTGGTTGCCATTTTACTTTTATAAAAAACAGAGTATGTTGTAACACTGTAACTGTTGCCTGGGCTCTGAAAAATCATACTTCAGGATCCTTCCTAGATTTGTTATTTACATAGAATTTTTTTGGGAAAGATACTGCACTAGGTTTTTGACATCAAATAATGATGGTTATATAACCTAAGTGTAGCTAGTAGAGACTATATCCAATATTTAAAGCCCCCTTATTTAAATAACTTGAATTAGTATCACAAAAGTCAAGATTCTTCACCCCCTGAACCATCAGAACAAAACCACAGTAGTAACAGAAGTCCATTTTCCCCTTATGGTGATTTTGTTTTCTAGCTGGTCCAGTTCAGATGGTAAAGATGATCCAATTGAAGTATCGAGAGACAGTATATTTGTGAAAATCTTACAGAAACTTATAAAAGATGGTAAGTGATTTTTAATATCAGAAATTACAATATCACTTTTGTTTTAGAAATGTTAGAATAATGGGGAATTTGCCAAGATGTCAGTTGCCAGGGCAGTTTAAGATTAAATAGTATCATATTCAGAATTAGAGATTTGTTTAAAGATTTGTTTTTTCTTTCCCTTCTAAAATAGGAGTAGCAAATGTCAGGTGAAGTCTCATTCTAGTTGGGTCCTTGGTGACTGCATCAGGCAGTCCCCATGCTGATCCAGGTTGGACCAGGAAGGTACACAAGTGTTGGATGGGACACAGAATCTAAACTGATTGAAGTAACCATTTCCTTTGAATTTTCAGTCAGCTCTAGTGAAGATTGAAAACTTGAAGTGAGATAAGACTTTTTTTTTGTTTATGTCCTCTACTAATTGATCATACCACACATAGGAATAAGTTGCATAATGTTTTTACAAACCCATTTTGAACATTGACACTCTAATATTCATTTTAGAAACAAAAAGACACAGGAAAGTATATGTTTTGTACCTTAGGCAGTGAGCAAAATTCTACTAGCTAATTAAGACACAAATAGGTAAAGATCTTTTACAGATGAATTAAAGAAGATAAATTACAGAGATGAATTAAAGAATACTTACTTTCATCTTCTTTCATGATACTGGAAGCCTAATAGACAAAGGATGTTAGACAAGAGATGAGAAATTTCACACTTCTTATACACAAAAATAAATGTCATTTATATTTATTATAGAATAATTAGGGCATAATATGAAATGCTAAATCCAAGCAATATGCAAAATAGGGTCCTTCAGTATTTACCAATATAAGGACACTCTAAAAAACCATTGGAAAGAATACACAGTAACTGAATTCTGTTGTAAATTCAGCAGTCCTTCTAAATGGAAGGACTCTTCTATTCTAAATGAAATAATGGATTTTATTCATCCTGCTGACATTTATATACACTGGAAAATTTTCTCTGTGTTTATCTGTTAGGACATTAGTCTATATAAAGCATGCCCAACCTGGTACCCGCACCTCGTAGTCATTCAGCAAACAGTCTTCTTTGAATGCCTAGAATTATTTTGTGGATTCCTAGCCCCACCTTCTCTGTAATAGACTTTACCCTACGGTCCTTTATTTTAGAATCTCTGGCTTAATGAAGTGAAATGCGAAATGCTATGGAACTAACCAAACCAACCAATAATCTGAGGCTAAAGAGAAGCAAACTGTGTTTACATTTCTGAAAGTTTTATTTTAAAGCATCTCTGCATTGATCCCTTAGCCTTATTTTTCCGATTTTTAGTCTTATTTTATTAATATAAATGCAATTCTGTCACTAGTTTGCTTGGAATTTGCTCAGAATTGACCTGGACTTTCATTTCTGAAAAATGGCTATCACTTCACAATGGTAATAGATTTAATGAGCTTTTTTTGTTTTCAAATATGAGTAACACAAAGGTTAATAAAGCCTTTTCATTGACAAGAAATAACTAAAAACTAAAAGTAGAATGAGGGGAAGGATATAAGGAAAATATATTTTGCTTGAAAATACTTGAAGTAGTGCAAACTGGTCCAACCACTATGGAGAGCTGTGTGGAGATTTCTGGACCTACTAAACATAGAGCTTCCATATGATCCAGCAATTCCACTCCTAGGTATTTACCCAAAGGACACAGAAACATCAATTCCAAAGAGCACCTGCACTCCTATGTTTATAGCAGCACTGTTTACAATAGCTAAGCTTTGGAAACAACCCAAATGCCCAAAAATAGATGACTGGATCAAGAAGATGTGGTACATATATACCATGGAATATTACTCAGCATTCAAAAAAGATAAACACATGCAATTTGCAGCAACATGGATGGCACTGGAAGGGATCATGCTCAGCGAAATAAGCCAAAAAGAAAAAGAAAAATACCGGATGGTCTCACTCATAGCAGGAATCTAGAAAACTTAAATAAGGGACCAGGAAAATGAATATAAGAAAGTGAAAATCAAAATCAACAAAAAAACTATGAACCAGAGACACTTTTTGGGGGGTGGGGGGGCGGGAGGGGAAGGATTGGGGTCAGAATGGGGCGTTTGCAATTGTATGGGGAATATAAAAATAAAATTTAATATTTAAAAAAAAAAAAAAAAAAAAGAAAATACTTGAAGTACTTAAAATTCAGAGAGAGCTAAAATATATCTGTAATGCTTCCGTTTTTCTCTATTTGGAATTGAAGAAGTAAGTTGGAGAGATTCTATAGTTGAACCCAGTAGATTCTTAGAAGCATTTGGACTTGGACCTAATGCTTTCCACTATATTAGTTCTCATGAAAGTGCCATTGAACTGAATTGTGCCTAATTAAGTATTTAGTTCCATTTAAAGGTGACTTTGCAGTTTTTGCTCTTCTTAGCTTATAAATTATAGATGTAAAACAAATGGAAACTTAAAATTTTATGAAGTTATTAAATTTTGCCAAAGAACAAAAATTAGTAGAAAATTCTTATAAGTGCATATAAATAAAAAGTATGTATATTACAATAAGCCAAAGACGTTTTACTTTTGGATCCTTTTTTAATAATATGGTTTCCATGTCCTTTTATAGGACAGATTCTAAAGGTAGAGAGACATATTCTTACAAAAGTCTTGTTTTCTAACTTCTCTTCAATATTGAAAAATTTGCCTACATCAGACTGAAATATTTACAGTCAGCTGGAGCTGGTAACGCTGCCCCCTGTTAGATGGAGCATTGGCTCTAAGTTGCCAAGACCCTTGATGCCCCCTTCTGCTGCTGCCTGCCAGATGTTTGTAGGCAAAGTCAAATTTTGACATTCTCCTACCACAATGAAAAGAAATGAACCATCATACCAGTTTTAAATAGAAAATTTAAAAATAGTGAAATAAGAGTTTAGGTTTTTTTTTAAAGAAATTAATGTATTTTTACAAGTTTAATTCTGTTTTACAGGGAAAAAGTTTTTATGGGAAGTGTGTTAATTGTATCATAGGATGTAAATATTTCAGGTTTAGTTTCATAACATTATTAACCCAGATTTTATTGTATAACAATTAAATACAAAATGGTGGTAGGCACTTAGAAGGTTGGTACTGATTTTGAGAAACTTACTGTAATGTAACAAGCTGTAGAATATTTTCTTATTAATTAAAATCAAGTGAGAAAACAATGTACATACTTTTGTGCAACTACACACAACTTAATGTAGACAGTCTGTTTAATCAGTGCTCTTGGCTTTCCAGCTCTGTGGAGAACTGGTGATGATTCTTCTACCTTTCTAACTGTCCATTTAAACTAATACATTTTGGGATATTGTAGTTACTAAATTCCAAGATTTGGTGAATATATAAATATTTGAAATACTTGTTTTCCAATGATTATCAATTTAAAACTTCCACATTGAAGGACTGACTTACACTCTGGGGAAAAATGAAAATACTTCAGAACTTTTTAAAGACTTTAAATAGATTGGCTATTTTGACCTGGGAGAAAACACTCAAGCAACCTCTTCTAAGTAAAGTATGTCATATTGTTAGACCTGCAAGTATGTTTGACAGATGGAAGGAATTTAGAACTGAGTATTTCCCAATAGCAGAGTGACATATTTTAAATAGAAACACAGGTGTTTTTATCATCAATCATCTTAATTAATTTGAAAGTTTATGAAAATGAAAAATACTTTCTGTGTTTGTTTATAGGCATTCAGCTCAGTGAATACCTACCAGAGGTGAAAGACCTACTACAAGCAGATCAGCTTGGAAACTTGAAGTCTAATTCTTACTTTGAATTTGTTTTGAAAGCAAATTATGAATATTATGTGCAAGGACAAATGTAACATTTTCTTAAAATGGTTATTGTTTCTGAAAATTTGTATAGTGTATCCTTATAAAATTTTTTGACTTGAATACCTGGAAGTTTATGTAATTTTATAGCATATATTGCTAAGTTTCTTTATACCGTATTTAGAATTTTATACCATATTAAGAAGCCACCACAAACTAGTTATACGGCTATAGTTCTGTGATATTTTCTTTCCTCTGTTTTTACTTCTGAAATTTACCATTTGTTTTTGTACTTGCTATTTCTTTCTCTTTAATTGCCCTCCATCCATCATTCTGGAGTTCTGGTTCTGGCTATTTATCTATAAAAATCACTTCTAGGTTTCAGTTTCTATAACTAAAAATGACAAGATTGCACACGATTGTCTAAATTGCCAGGGCTTTGGATATTATGCATTGAAGGGAATCTGAAGTGTTGGTATCTGTTTTGGTTAGACTAGTGGAAAATATCTAGTAAGATTAATGTCAAATTTTGCTGACTTGTTATGGGACTAAAGGACAAAACAACGGGGCTAGTTCATGTGCTCTATCTATAACTTACCATATAAGTTTTGAGCATTAGTGGGGATTCAGTCCACTTCATGTAGTTTTAGGATGATTTACACAGACTATTGACTTTACTATATTTTGGGTAGCTAATGTAAAGGCTGTGTAATTCTAGATATGATTATGGGTTTTCTTAATATGGCCACTGGCTTAACTGAAATGTAGTGGTTTTCAAAAAGCTTCTTTGTCCTGACCAGTGTCATCACCCAGTTTTTATTTATCCAGCTTTAAATAAAGCAGAGATTGGACAGGGAGTTGCTGGCATATTCAGACTTTGGCTGGGTCGAATGCTCACTAAACAACTTGCTCCAACAGCTGAAAAGGTCAGAAGTTAAATATGGTGAACAGAGTCCAGTTCTTGGTTTCACAGAGTACAGCCATCACGCCCTCTTCTCTCCAGGCTTCTGATCCAGAAAAATGCTTATATGGCACTGTTTACATTAATAGTCAAAGGAAGGGAATGGTAGCTGGAATGTGGGACAGCATCAGGGTCCGGGTCGGGCGTGTGTTGAAGGGTAGGTGCTAAGCGAGGTAGGGAGAGGCGCTTGTCAGGTGGTGGGTCAGAGATGGTTGAATGTTCACATACAACAAGGCTTTGGTTTTGTGTGAACACATAACACTTCTCAGGTAGTAACGTGTTCTGGGGACATCTTCCCAAACCTAATTATCTGTAGTGAGAGGGAAACCTAGTAATGACCCTGTCCTGCTGAGTGCACTGCCCTCTCACTGTGATGTGTAGTGACTGTCTTACTTCGAAGGGAGCAGAGCGCTCATTCTAGCTCTCTTCAAGTCTGTAATTAGAGCACCAAAGTGATTGGTTTTTAAAAATTATTTAACAGTAATAGCAAAATTAATAAATTGAATAATGTATTTCTAAATTAAAAATTCCTTCCACAACGTAGTCCTTATCAAAGAATTATCAGTGATTTTTATGTAAATTGAACAGTTGCTAAGGACAGATTTTAAAGGGACTATGTGAACGTGTTTTCTAAGGAAAGACATTTTACGGACTTGAGGAAAGGTTTTCTTTTCTCCTTTCTTTGCTACTCTAAAAACCTAGTTTGTGGCCTTGATCAAACAATCAATAAGGTTTTATCTTTGATAGTAGCAGACTTCGTTTATTGGTGTGTTTTAAGGATTGTCTATGTGTCAAGGACTAAAGCAGAACTGGAAATACACAGTAAGAGACTGGCTAAAATCTTTAGTGACAGATTTTAGTAAAAGGCTACCAGAACTTTCTGTTTTAGGGATTTCACTTTTGAAGAAAACTTCTAGAACCTGGATTATGTTGCTTTTCTTACTTTGAGATCGAGTCATAGTTTCCCTAAGTCGTTGCCCACCAAGCATGCTGAGGGGCCTGGGGGCAGGTATGTGACAGTTCTCAGAAACTTGAACAGAAGGAAGCCAAACCACAGTGAAGTTAAACTCACTTCTTACTCCAAAGTCATCTGACACACTTGTAAATTTGAGGTTGATAATTACAAAATTTTTAGTGTAGCCCCATTTACTACTAATTCCTAGATATTTTGTTTGAAGAATACCCAAGAGAAAATAGCTTTATCTATTCCTGTGTAAAATCCATTCATTAAATTCCAAAATACATTTGAAAAAATAGTCTTTCAGAATTCTAAAATTTAAAAAATAGAAAATGTGAAGCCTGTTTAAAAAGTATGTGAAAAAAACCCCTGTAAGTCCACCAGCCGGAAATAACTTCAGTTACCATTTTGAAATATATTCTAGCACCTTGTGGACTGTGCATGCTCGTTTTATATTTTATAGTCTTATTTTCATGTGGAACATTGTGAGCATTTCTATATATCTTTGTTTTATTCACGGGAACATGTACTGAAGTGTTTATAGCTGCAGAAGTATTTTTTTAACTTTTTATTGAAATAACATTGGTTTATAACAGGTTTCAAGTATACAACATTATAAATCTTTGTATCCTTAATTCAGTATTTCTTAACCTTTTTTTTCATTATCACTACTCCTGAGGATCTTTTTTATAGACAGTTTTTTCCTAATCAGTCTTTCCCTTGCCCCACATACGAAAGTATGACACTGTACTATGTGACTGTACCATAATTTACTGTAGTCTCCTTCCTTCCCAACCTCCCTGGCTATTTATCTCTCTCTGCATTCTCTCTCCCTCTCTCCCTCTCTGCATTCTCCTTAACAGTTTTAAAACACTTAAGTTAATATGCTGGGTTTGGGGATTCTTTGCCATTTTCAATACTAGAAGAAATCTTTGTACAGAAATCTTTGTGCACTATAAATACATTTAAAATGACACGGAGCCTTCGTATTCATTCGTGATGACTTTAAAATATATTTATGGAACAATGCTAATAGTTTTTAATGTCCTTTGCCCACTTCTTATCACCTTGCCCCTCACACCTCGTCCAAAGACTCAGAAGAACGATAGAGGACCTCTGATTATTTCTAGTGCCCTAGACACTTACCTAGTTGTAATCTTTGAATCAGCCTTTACTGGTATCCTCAGTTGAGAATGCTGAGTCTTTCTGAATGTGACCTGCACAGAGTCACCTCGCCAGTCAAAACAGGAGCACATCCAGATCACAGTGTAAATTGTTACCAGTTTGTTACATCTGGTGTAAGAAGGTGATGGACGAAAAGGAGCGGCTCTGATGAAGTCAGACCCTTAGAGATGGCCAAGGCAGAGCAAACCCAGAAATCTGAGCCTTCTCTTCTTGACTGCCATAGGTTGACCTGACGTTTTAAGATGTGTGGCTGCTGAGGAAAGAGAGTTTGGTCTCTTCCATCATCCACCTGGCCACAGGAACGTTTCTGACTTCGTTGCCAGCACTTCTTGCTATTCTTTTTGAGAAGACAGAAGATAGTTGCACTTGAAACCATAACTTTATATCAGGATGCTTTGGCGTTTCCTTGGAAAGGTAGATCCCTCGTGGATCTGTTACGTTTCCAGAATTGAACCAAGTGTTCGGGATGATAAAAGGCAAATCAAAAGTGGTCCTCATCCCTCCCTGGCCACCCAGGGTTCCCTAAGCCCCTGCTCCTCCACTGGCTGCTGTGTGACCTGGGATATGTGAAGTTTGTTTTTTTTCTTTGAAGAGGAATGAATTGTACCCACAGTAGTTCCTCTCTCCCCCCATCACTGACTTTGCTTTATGCAATGTCAGTTAACCTACAGGAGTGCGGAAGATATTAAGTATCGTAAAATATTTTGAGAGACCACATTCATGGAGTTTTCATTACAGCACATTATTGTGATTGTTCTGTTTTACTGTTATTAGTCTTACTGTGCCTAATTTATCATGGCATGAATGTATAGGAAAAGCAGTGTTAGGGTTTGGTAGGTACTAGCCCTGGTGTAGGCATCCACCAGAGGGTCTTAGTACACATGCCCTGTAGGTAAGGGGGTACTGATGTATCTTACCTCAGGACAGTTGAAAGGGTTAAGAAAACAATGTGAAAGCATATCATAAAGTTTCAAATATAGGGAGCACTAGGAGACTTAGACTGAGCACGACTGGGGAGTATAGACAGGTGAGGACTTGGGGATCAGGCAAGAGCTCCGTCAAGCATGCCTCACATGGCAGGCCTTTCCTTAGCAATAGAGCGTGCAGGCAGTAACGTGCTCTCCTGAGCCAGAGCAGAGCACTGCTGTGTTTCCCAAGAGATGAATGGGATGGCTTCATCAGCCTGTTAAATCTGTTCCCTGAGCCAACAAGAACCTGACAGCACCAAAAGAGACAGAGGGGATGAGACAGAGACAGAGACTGCTGAGGGGAGCAGCGGGCGAGACAGGAGAGGTCTGCTGTGCCATGTAGGACCCTCGCCGCACGGCCGGGGATTGAACCGGCGCTGTGGAGGCTGTGGGCAGCTTTGCAGCCCAGCACTCAACCACAGCGCCACCAGGGAGGCCCTGTTCATAACTTTTAATGTAGACTTAAATCTAACAGCTTAGGAAAGCTTGCTGTAAGAAAGCCAAGAGGTACGTAGAACAAGTTTGTTTGAACAATGTGGAACAATGTGGCCTGTTTCCCCTTTAAATTGTCCACAAATTCTTCAGTATTCCAAAGGAACACGACACATTTTCTTCCTGCTTTCCAGCTAACATTTTAGTTATTCCCCTTATATTGTACATACAGTGCATTTGCCAGGTTTTTTTTTTTTTTTCCTTAGTGTCTCAACCACCTAGACACAGCAGGACACAAGGTAAAGAAAAACAAAATGTAGTTCTGTCCCTTACTCATTCTCTAAAATGACTGAAAAAAACAAAATATGAAACTGTAGTACTTTGTGGATGAGCATGAAGTATGAAATTTGTACTCTAAATTGGCCCCACATTAACCTATCTCATTTTTCAGTTGACTTTGATAGTTTTTAGGTCGAGCTGCCATGATATGGGTTACAGAGGAGGGTAACATGTGCTTTTATATTCCTCCTTAAGAGAGTCCACACCTGTCCCAGTTGCCAAGTTCCACTACCAAATGGGAATTGTAGCTATTTTGGGAACACTTAAGCATCTCAGAAAAACCAAGGATTCCATTATGGATGGCCCCACATTGCTGATGTACCCCCTTAAACTATGTCACAGAGTTCATCCCAGAAAATCATTTTTCCTCGTGCCTTCTACACCAAGGAGAGGTTAGAACTGCCCTTGCCGCAGAAAAAAAAAAAAAAAAGTAAGACATGGATAACCTCCTCCGACCTCCACTGCCCCTTACCATAAGTAGATCCAAAACCATCTAGAAAGCTTTGAAAGGCATATCCTCATATACCAGTGGTATAAATAGAACAGCTGCCGCAGGCTCTGGTAGATGGTGACTCTCCAAGGTGGACTGGGACACAGCCTGGCCTTGGCGCGCATCATCCTCTAAATTTAAAGATGAGTTTGTCCAGCCTTTGCAAAAGGAAAAATTGCTCCCCATCCTAGAGTGCAGTGGCCTTGTCCTCTTTATTGGGAAGAACGATGGGCAAGGCTTCCTCCAAGGACACCTCAGGGATCCCCACCTGCGGGTCCTGACCCTCCTCTTTCAGCTGAGGCCCCTCAGCCAGAATGGAACTGGGCTTAAGGAGCTCCGTTCGGCCCGCCAACCTGGGGCAGGTCATTCCTAGGGAGGAAACCCCCCCCCACCATTCATTCCCTTCAGGAGCCCATACTGCTCAGTCACCGAGGCAGACGTCTCGGTGCCCTGGCTTTGTGCCCTGCGCAGCCTGAGGCACCCGCCCGGGCCTGTCCCCGTGAGCCCTGCGCCTCCTCTCGCCCTGCACCCTCGCCTCCCGGGGCCAGTTGTCTGCCCCGCGACAGCTGCGCCCCTCCCGCCGCCGGGCGCCCTCTCCCCGGGGGGGCGGGGGCCGACTTGGGTCAGTCCTCTGGATCCGGGGCTGAGGTGGCCGGGAGAAATGCAGTTCCCTGGAGGGCTTATCCCCGCCGGGATCCCGGGGTTGACTGACTCTCGGACCCACTACAAGGCTCCCTCCTGGGGCTGCACGCGCGGGTTAGGGTGTATTGTGAAGGGGGGGCGCGCGAGGGGGGGCCGAATAGAGAACCCGACGAAGGGGCGAGAGCGGGAGGCAGCGCCCGCAGCGCCCGGCGAGCGCCGAGTGGGCGGGGCGGGAATGCCGGCCCGACAGGTGCGGCGCGGGGCGCGCACGCGCACGCGCCCGCGCCCCGCCGCGCCCCACCCCGCGCCCTCCGCGGGCAGCTGGGCGGGGTCCGGAGGGGCCGACCCTCGCGAGAGACGCTCCATATACGGCCCGGCCCGCGTTACCTGGGCCAAAGCCAGGCCGCTCCTTCTTTGGTCAGCGTAGGGGGCCCAGGCCGTGAACCGGCCGGGGGGCGGGGGGCCTGGTGCCCTACACCCAAATATGGCTCGAGAAGGGCAGCGACATTCCTGCGGGGCGGCGCGGGAGGGCGCGCCCGCGGGCTATATAAAACCTCTGTGGGGGGACAAGCTGCCAACGCAGCGGACAGCGCCAGAGAAGCCTCGCTCCCCTCCCGTGGGTCTGAGCCGGAGAGCAGCAGGTGTAGCCGAGCGCCCAGGTAGGGCGGGCGCGGGCCGGGGCAGGGAGAGCGCACCCCGAGCCCAGCCCACTCCTTAGGTCGGCGTCGGGCCTGCGCCCTGGGGCCGTGCCGGGGTCGCGGCCGCCACAGGCGCTTGAAAGGGAAGGCGCGAGACAGCCGCCCCCTGACCCATCCCCGGCTCTCGGCGCCATCTGGCATTTACCATGTGCCCGGGGAGGTGAAGCCTTTGCTTGAGTCGGTCAACGGCAGTTCCCTCCGGACCGAGCGCCAGAGCCCCTGGGCCGCTGCTCTCTGGGCTCACGGCAGGCGAAGGGGCGCTCTTCTAGGTCGGGAATGTCGTGTCCGGACCAGGCCACCTCCGGGGGGGAGCGCCAGAGCCCTTCGCCGCGACACCTCCTTCCCCGCCGCACGGGCTCGGGGCGGGCAGCGCGGGCCTCTGCCTCCCGGGGGCCGCCGCGGCGCGGGCTGGGGCGCGGGGGCGCTGTTAGCACGTGGCCCGGGCGGCCGGAGGCCTGCGGCGAAGGCAGGCGGGTTTCGGGAGTCAGTCGCGAACCCCTGGACGCCCGGGGTGAAGAAATTCCCAGTGTGGTCAGGATGACCTTGGGCGCCTCTCCCTAGCGCAGGGGGCCCCGGCCGCCTCCCCGACCACAGGTGCGCTCCCTGCTGGGGAGTCCTTAGGTCCAGGGGAAGCGAGAGCCCTGGGGCCGGCGCGGCCTCGCCTCGGAGCAGAGGAGGCTGCTGCGCTGCTGCGCCATGTGTCTCCGCCGCTTTCCTGTCCTTGCAGAAACCAGACGCCATGTGTGACGAAGACGAGACCACCGCGCTCGTGTGCGACAACGGCTCGGGTCTGGTGAAAGCCGGCTTCGCCGGCGACGACGCCCCCAGGGCCGTGTTCCCATCCATCGTGGGCCGCCCTCGCCATCAGGTCAGGCTGCCCCTCCGCGGGGGAGCGGGGCCGGGGCCGGGCACAGCCTCGCCCGGCCGCAGCCGTAACCCGGGCGTGGTGCTCCCGCTCCGCAGGGTGTCATGGTGGGCATGGGTCAGAAAGACTCCTACGTGGGCGACGAGGCTCAGAGCAAGAGAGGCATCCTGACCCTGAAGTACCCCATTGAGCACGGCATCATCACCAACTGGGACGACATGGAGAAGATCTGGCACCACACCTTCTACAACGAGCTCCGCGTGGCCCCCGAGGAGCACCCCACCCTGCTCACCGAAGCCCCCCTCAACCCCAAGGCCAACCGCGAGAAGATGACCCAGATCATGTTTGAGACCTTCA